GTTTGCTGAATACCTTGCTTTTCCAAGTTCTTCGGTAATTTGACCTATTAGAGGGAGAGGGTAGGCATCTGGTATGGTCGCTTCGTTCAGTTTTCGATAGTCGATGACCATTCGCCATTGTCCTTCGGCCTTCTTCGGTATCATAAACATTGGTGAGCCGTATGGCGAGTTACTTGCCCGAATTCGGCCAGCGGCGATTTCGCGATCTAGTATGTCTCTCAGCGCGCGTCTCTGATCTTCTCCTTGAGCATAGAGGGAGGCGACCTTAAGGTTCGCCCCCTCCTTAAGCTCAAACTTCAAATCGTAGGACCTTGAAGGGGGAAGGGTCTCTCCTCCCTTCTTCGGATTAAAAACGTCAATGTACTGGTGGTATTGTTCAGGAACTACCTGGAACAACTCGTCTTGTTCCTCCGGGCTCAGCTCTTCAAGCTCATCTTCGCCGCGGAGGTCTATCGCGTCCGTCAGAGTCGGCAGCCCTATGGCCGCTAACTTCGCCGCACTTGGTGGGGTTGGGATGGGAAATTTCACCGAATTGTCTCTTCCATCAAGGACAACCCCTTCCTTCCTCATCCAATCCCACCCTATCACAACATCTGCGTCGCAGAGCGTTGTTACATCGAGACAAACAGATCGCACTTCGGCGTCCTTCGTCAAACTAAATCCGACTTCGACAAACTCGGTGATGGGTCCAGCGACACTCACCGAGCCGTCGAACATGTGAACGGGTACGCTCACCTGATATCGCCTCTTTTCTACACCTATCTTCGCTGCTGCCTTAGGGCTTATATATGAACAAGTAGCTCCAGTGTCCCAGAGCGTAGTTAGCTTTATTCCATTAATGAAAATGTCCGATTTAGGTTGATCTCTGGAAACGGAAGGGATGAGGAGATGATTATCGACATTGCATGAACAAGGGGTACTGAGTGGTGTATTTTTGTATTCACAATCCTCTGGCTCCATCAGCTGTGTTTCTTTTATGGGTTTGGGAATGGTGGCCGAGAGAATATGGCGGACCCGCCGAGCCTCGCCTACTGCGACAGGTCCTCTTCTTTTCCCTGGTCCTCTTCCAAATCTACTTCTCCTCCAACCGCATTCAAGTTCCTCCTCTGTCCGAGAGGTACTGCGTTCCCTCCCGATCCTCCACCACGTTCTCCGAACTTCTCCCCCCATGGAGGCAACAGTCCAACCTTAACCTTAGCCTCCCTTACAGGGCATTCCTTCAGCCAATGTCCTGCTTCACCACACTCGGTACACTTCCCCTCCTTCCTCCTTGTCTCCCTCAGATCGGAGCTCGGCCTAGGCCATCTTCGGCGCACTTCGTCGATGTTTGACGGTGTACTCTTTACCACCGTCGACATCATAGCCGCCTGGACACCACCCTGCGCCGAAGGTTGCCCCTTTTCCCATTTCTTCTCTTCTTTCTTCTCCGTCCTCTGACTTTCCACCACTGTCGTTGTCCTTATCCCTCCTTCCCTTTTCCTCTCTGCCTCCTTCTCCACTTGTCTCCTCCACAGGCGGTTGTCCAAGGGAATCACAAACTCCAATAGCTCTTTCACAGTCCCAAACGATCTACCGTGTCTTGCAATTTCATCTAGAAGGTGCGATTTTAGTCCTTTCTTGGCTCGGTCAACTAGGTTTCCATCATCAGACCACTTAAGAATCGCAACATGTCGCTGGAAGGCGGAGAAGTAGTCCGAAGCAGACCCGGTTTGCTTGAGGTCGTTAAGTTGTCGGGCCGCAGTTCCTTCTTCGTCTGGATCACCAAAGTTAGTCTTGAGGTACTTAACGAACTGATCGTGTGTCGTGAGGTACTCAGGAAGAGGTCTTTTGGATAGATCGGGCTGCACTGCAAGAAGAGGTGTTTCGCGTAGATGAGAGATCATGAAAAAGACTTTCTTAGTGTCGTCGGGGAAAAGATGAGAGTTCAATTCAAAATGTACGTCGCACTCAGACAGAAAGGCGGTTAACTTGTTCCGATCTCCTCTCCAGAGGTCTGGGTTAGGTAGCTTTATCCCCTTCCGTTGTTCGCCCACTACGCTTGGGGTCGCCGAAGTTTGCCGTCCCATGGCGTACCTCACTCCTTCTGATATCCCTTCTGCAATCCCGCCCACTGTATCCCTTTCTCTTCTCTGTTCCCATTCCTCCCTACGCCTTCTCTCCTCCATCATGTCTTTGTTCATATTCGCCACCATCTGCATCAAGGCCAACACCACCCCTTGTGTTCCTTCTTCTCCCAAGTTCGCCGTACTTCCAGTGTTTTCTCTTGGGCGTGGGGTTTGGTCTGATCCAAGTGGGGATCCCGCAGGTGGGAGAGCATTAGACGGAGGAGAAGGAGGGTTAGAAGGCACCGGTGGAACGAACTCATCTCCTTGAATTGATCCCCCCACACTATCCTCCACTCCAAGGTCCTGCCCCATTGCTCTGCTAAGCTCCTCCAATGCTCTCCTCTCGTTCTCCTCCATCCTGTCTCCATCCCTACTCATCCCTCGTGTAATTCTCCTTTCTGGTTCCATATTATCTTTGTACTTCTCCGAGGTTCGCACGGGTCGTCGGTAAGAGCGATCCTTGATACTGTCACGGCCGTCGAACAACTATTTCTTAATAGACCGACGGTCGACGAACCTCGGCTAACTTCACGCTCTGAGTCGATGTCTCACCCAACCAGGAGGGCGCAGACGTCGAAAGGGGTGTAACTACGGCGTACTTCGGCGTAGTTACTCTAACTAGGGTTTTGTTCTACTGATGGCGATGTATCTTGATTTATAGCTATCTCTATCTGTCTTTCACTACTGACAACAATCAAGGATCGCTGAAGAACTTCAGCGATCTTCTCAGCTAATATTATCTACTCCTCCTAGACGTTCATCCAACCCTCTCGCGCTTTGACGTACTTCAACGCACTTCGTCCAACTTCCCCGAGCCCTCGGCCATCCTCTTCCTCCTTCGACTAACTCCGCCTAACATCGCCGCACTTCTGCTCCCATTGTCCCTACTTAGCCTAACTCCGCCTAACATCGCCGCACTTCTGCTCCCATTGTCCCTAATTAGCCTAACCCCGCCTAACATCGCCGCACTTCTGCTCCCATTGTCCCTACTTAGCCTAACCCCGTCTAACTTCGCCGTACTTCTGCTCCCATTGTCCCTACTTAGCCTAACTCCGTCTAACTTCGCCGTACTTGGTGTCAGAAGTCCTGAGTTACGTGTAGAGTAAAGAGGTTAAGGCGTGATGGGGTTTTGATGGCCAAAGGAGGGTCATTGTTGGTGGAGTAATCGAGGTGTCACGACGTAGTTCGTGACAGAGGTTTGGTTACTAAATTGTCATTAGGAAGAAGAGTAGTTTGGGAAAACTAGGGTGAATAACTCAAGGGTGTGTGGATTACTCTGGGTGGGTCCGGACCGCTCCGGAGTGGCATGTTTCTCTGGCTGGGTCCCAAAGGGGTAGTTTGAACCATGCCACTCCGGAGGGGCCCGTCTCCGGCTGGGTCCTTAACAGTTCCAAATACAACATGACTGATGCTGCTACAAGCAACATGTCCATTCAATCCAATGTATTTGATTCAGCACAAAGCCAAGAAGTGGATTGGAGCATAGGTGGTGAGAAGATGCCTTACGATTCACCTGTCATCCGCACGCTTATGTCTGACTGCTCCTCAAACAGTGCGCCTTCCCCCCCTCCTTCAAAGCGGGTCCCCGAGCCCGATGTTTTCGATAGCCTTGATCAGACGCTGATGACCTCAAGCGACTTGGCGTTCCAGAAGAAGGCAAGGGATTTAATGAGTAAAGTAAGAACACAGATTATGGAAACACGGGCCAAGGAGGGTTCTCTTAATACCAATCTTCCAGGATCCATCCATCTGCTGGAGTCCATTACTGATGTTGGAATTGACATTTTGACATCCGGGTTGTTTCTGAAATTGGAAGACCTGTTTGACCTAGCAAGTGATCAAGAGCTACAACGTTTGCAAAATATAGCCCCTACGTTTAGTCCAGAGGAAGTGGAGATTCACATGCCTGCGGGGTCTGACAACATGATCAATGCTTGTGGTCTTAAGGTTCAGGATGTTGTGGAGTTCCTGAATGGCTATTTTAGTTTTTCTCAATCAGCAATTGCGTGGGTGCGTGAGCAAAACGAGCGCAAGGATGAGGCCATGCGGTCGGCTATGTTTGACTTGAACTCTGAGATAGGAAATTATAAGTCTCGCTGGACTGATAAGACCCTTCATGAGCTGTGAAACTGTCACAAGCCATCAAGACGTGAAGGTTGAGCTAAGCAACAGAAACAAGGTTTGAGGAAGATGATTGGTAATTTGACCAGTGATCAGTGGATGAAGACATTGTTTGCTTATAATTAGATGATAATACAGAACGGGGGAAAGAGCATGGATCAATTCTACATGTCTCTATACTTATCATATCCCTTTCATTTGCTATGAACCAGAGGCGATCAAATGAGGTTTAGAGGGTAAGTTGTACAAAGGGATATTCGATGAAAAGGGTTATTTTCCTACTGACGGCTTGGCCGTCCTGGGCCAATCCTATCCGCTAATAGACATCACCGGTTGATAGACCTTTTCATTCAGTGGGGATGGAAGGCACTGGTACCGTTATAACAACACATCCCTATGCATGCTCATCACTATGAAAACACGTCCGTTTCCGACATGATTAGATGAGGATTTGTCACGGCTCAGATCATAGACCCAGGGACAGGGCATCCTCATGGATCATCAAAGTGGAACTAAGTTCATGGTGAATGTGCAATGAGTTTTCCATTCAAGACTGGTGGATGTGGCATAGGTGAAATCAGAGCAGTGAGTGAGCTTGACATGCAACATATGAGAAGCATTTCCTGAGGATGTTTTACACTATGACTTTGAAAGATACTACAGGACCTTTTCTGTTCTAGATATTACTTGTTGTACTGATGTTCCACGCTTCCGCAGCCTTGGACTTTTTCCTCCAAGGATACGTACACGCCTCAAGTGGGACTCACATTTTGACCACTCTTGATCTTCACCTCTTACAGTATGATTAAACTTCATGTACCACCTTTGGTTGACAATGGTGTGATTGATCAGAGTTCCGGGACGCGCACGGAACCGTCAGGATGATCCGGAGTCGTTTCCATTATGTGTCATTTCGTGTCGGCAACACTGTCAGGACCAGACGTTGAAGGTAGTCTGCGTCTATGAGCTTTGGCTATAGGGCCTCACAGGGAACAAACCTAGTGATGTAGTTTATAGTCTAGTGATGTAGTGGATTGAAGAGACTATAGTCGATGAGATCAAGTGGCAAAAGATTTGCTAAGTGACGAGAAAATACATTTGACAAGACATCTACGAAAAAGGGGTGTTTCTATGTACTAAAAAGGGAGCGGAGAGATACCGAAATCTATGGAGTAAATGTGGAAAGCGACAAGGGGTGTAAGAGCGAAGGAAGACGGGGATAGATGAGGGACATGGAGATGAAGGAAAAGTATAGCATGGTAAAGAAGTAACGATTAGGTAGCAAAGGAGAACGGAGGACGCCGTGGCGGGATTAGTGAGACGGGGACGGGAACGGGTAAGGTGGAGTACGGGAATGGTTAGGTGGAGTACGACTTCTGCGTACGACTCTTGAGGAACCCGTCTATAGGTACCCGTGATCCTGACAGACACCCTCGCGACCACGTCTCATCTGTGAGAAACTGTCATGACCACGTGCGTCGAAGTTGCTAGTTCGGGTAATATCCAGTTACCCGCCACCGATAAACACTACCAGCCACCCTTATCTACATTACACTCTCATTCCATGTACATAAGGTAGTGCATAGCTTAGAACAACTTCGACGAATGTATCTTGTCTGTCTCAACATACAAGTTCTCTTATACATTTGCCAAACTTATTATTCACTCCTCGAACTATTTGCTTCGATCCTCATATTCTCTCGCAACTAGTTCAAGTCCCTACAAGTAGCTCATCACCCTCGACGCAGATCCTTCGACCTTCGGTCTGGTCTTGACAGAAACATTCAAACTACTGTTCGGACCCCGAAAGTCCTCGTATCAATGGACCCCTTCATCAACGGCGGGATGACCTGCAAGTAAGGAAGTCGTTTTTGCAGCTAGATCCATGCCCGATGGCTATGCTACATAGAAAAAGGGAGGGAGATATCTGTACGTCAAAATTTCCTTCCCCGCCAAGCTGTCTACGTTCCCTCATCCGTCCATACGCATATGAACCTGGCCCTTCTCATTGCCTATCATTCAAAACACACACACAATTGAACATTGGACTCGAAACAACCCATCAACATGACGAACTGCTCGCCAATCGATCCCGACTCTGTCCTCTACAGCTGGCTCTTGGGGGGTCCTCATAGTGTATACTGGTTCCCGAGTGAGTCCAGTCTCCATGGTGACCCGTCAGTCAGTCCGACAACCCTGTTTCCCTTGAGCTCCACCATACGGACTGACCCAGACCTCAATGATGACACTCTGTACAAGACAAAAGTTAAATCCCTATCGCCGATTGCTAAATCTATCATGGTGGCAATAACAAGTCATCGAACTCTTAAAAGCCCTTATACAGATGCCAAAGGCCTGAAAGCAGACTTGTTTAGACCACTGACTATACAAGAGGTTGTAGAGGCGCGAGAGAAAGTGGGTGATGGGGCGTCTGACGTCTCAGACCTGGTGTTACGGAGTAACAACGAATCGAGAGAACTCCATCGAGTTCGACGGATTAGGAAGGAGAACGGCGAGAGTTGGACGCAGTGCTGCAGTAGGTAGGGACGGGTTTTCCCTTTTCGAGATTTCCCCACTGGGTTTGCTCAAAAGCGGTTTTTCACCTGTCCGAGTATGTACATAGACGCTTGCAGTAGGAACTGAGGAGGACACGGATACCTGTAGACAGTATATAGTACAATCAGCAAAGTACCAACTTTGCTGATTCTTCAATATCATTCTTTGGCTACATTGATTGCAGAGGAGACACGACCATTAGCACCAGAGATACATAGACTTCCACGAGAGTTCCATCGACTTCGACCCAACCTGCGACTTAGTCATCGTGTTTCCAGTACCGTTACACCTGGACTGTTTTGAGGAGTTGAGCCCTCTCTACCAAAAGCTTGAGGAGACCACACACCAGAGTGATGACTATGAAGCTCACAAGTTTGTGGACAGGTCATCATCCTCTCTCACAGTATGTCACCAAAAGGCAGTGCTGGGCTCCATTGTGAAGGTGGACGGCAAGTGACATGATGCTGCTCCCTCTGAACATTACACCCACAGGACATGCTGACAGACTTCAGACGGATGACAATGGGAAGATACATGAGGGTCATCTTTGAAACATATACAGATGTAGTGTCCATCGACAGAGTATGCATCTTTGTCCTGCGACTCATGAAGCCTGACTTCCGGCCATATTGACTCACTCTGCAATTTGTTTAAACCTAATGAGCTCTTGCCATGGAAAAGGGGACTGCTCCAGGCTCAAAGGATATTGAAGGCACGTCTTCCGGAACCGTTGAGATCACCTACGAGTACCTCGGAGGCGGGGGAAGGATGTTAACTGTGAAGCCTACACAATGATCAAAGTGTATATTGACAAAAAAGACATCTCAACCAAAAAGACCGGGAATTCGCCATGAATCAACCTATTTCTACGACCCAGGGGGTGAGTATTGGAAGGCAGTGGAATGAGGAGGAGATCCGTTTTGGCCTGTCAGAAAAGGAATATTATGACTGTCATGGAAGGAAATATGCTGCCAATAGGGAAGGGATTGAGAAAGAAACAAAGTGGAGCTCGACGGAATCGAATGTTCCGTTCACCTGTTGTTTGCTCAGCACTAATTGAGAGTGATGAGGAGACAACAGGAAGAATGTAGGTACTTATGATAAGTTAGGCGGCGTTTACCGCATTAAGAGGACGCATGGGTGTATCACCTATCTCCGTTGGAGCTAGGCAAAAAAACATTTGACATAGGAAGGATTTATGTCAGGATCACGGGTACCTAAAGACGGGTTCCTCAGAGTCGTACGCAGAAGTTATACTGCACCCCCATTCCCGTCTCCGCTTCACCGCTTCACTAGCTTCACTAATTCCGCTACGGCATCCTCCACTCTCCTTTCCTACCTAATCGCTATATCTTTCTCCTCCAATACTTTCCCTTCATCTCTGTGTCTCTCATCTATCTCTGTCTTCCTTTGTTCTTCCACCCCATGTTATTTTCCAAATTTACTCCATAGATTTCGGTATAACTCCGCTCCCTTTTAGGTATATAGAAACAGCCCTTTTTTGTAGATGTCTTGTCAAATGTATTTTCTTGTCGCTTAAGTAAATCTTTTGCCACTAGATGTCATGGACTTATAGTCTCTTTGATGCACTACATCATCAGGTTTGTTCCCTACAAGGCCCTGTTTTCTGATAATTAGATGGTAATACAGAGGGGGAAAAGAGCATGCATCAATTCTACATGTCTCTATACTTATCACATTCCACTCACACGCATAAAACCAGAGACGATCGAATAAAGTTCAGAGGATAAGTTGAACGGAGAAATATTCGACGGAAGGGGTAATTATCTAACGGCGGTTCGGCCGTCCTGGCCCGATTCTATCGGCTAACACTCCCCCACGGGACAATGCACGACTCTGCAGTAGTCCCGGACGATTTATCGATGGCGACGGCGGGGTTTGTGATGATGTAGAAGGTAGTAATGACGAAATATTGAGTGTTATGTGTGTGGTAGTAGTGGTAGGTGAAATCGTGAAATGAATTTCTGTGGGGCCCCCTGCGGGGCTCCGCTCTGTCACGTGGTTACCACTCACTACTGACGACTGACTCTTCTCTATCATTCCTTTTACTTCATCACTTTTATCTCCAATTATCGGTATGTCCACCTTTCGTTTTTCTCCACTTTTATCACTCGTTTCTGACTGTCTGAACTTCCCTCTGTCCTGTCTACTTCTTAAAACTTCAGGTTTGCTAGTAGACTCCCGAGAATCGATGAAATTCCTTCGTGTCCCTGGCTGACGATATCTATTATCATTAGTAGCAACCGCATCGTTATCATGGCCCAAGTTCCTGCCTCCGTTCTTTCGACCATTGCTTCTCCCTCGGTCCCTGGACCGTCTGATCGTCCTGCTCTTAGGTTGCTCCCCAGCAATCCTCCCGACTGTAAGTCTGTCAGTCATACCATGAACTTTATTGAGTTTGAGATCTTTCCCAGAAGGTGAAATTTGAACTGGGGATATTGAAGTCGAACCTAGACAAACATTTCCTTTTGATAGGAAACGCTCTTTTGGAAGGTGGGGTAACCCACGAGAGGGTACAAGAGATTGTTGATGCTGTGGACTCTCTCCACGATAAACTTGAGAATATCCTCGGTGGATATAAGGTTGCTGGCTACCAGCCAAAGTTCCCGGTGTTCGTGGACTTGACGATGGAGGTTGAGTAGTATCCCTCCTATGTATCGTCTTATCTCTTCTCATCCTACTCTTCTCTTTCATTTCTCTAATGATTCTAGGTTCTACCGGTGGTTTCTGACCTATCTTAGAATTACTCACATTCATAGGTACACCCGAAAATTTTACATTTTGGCTCACGAGAACTTTTCTTTCGGTGGTACTTCGGTGGGTTTCTCTGAAGTTCCTTCCACCCACACTTCTCTGTCTGATACCAACTCTGTATCTGGTACCACTTCGTTCCTTGGTACCACTTCGTTCTCTGTACCACCTGATAGATCTCCTAGGTCCTCGAAATCTGAATAATCGTAATCGACGATTTCATCATCATCTAATGTCACGTATACTGAACCAATGTTTTTCTTCTTCGGTGGTTCTACCCGTATCGCTGACATATTCACCGAATGTACTGGTCCACCTAAAGCTTTCGTGAGTACATCTGCTCGCTGATAGACAGTGCTGACGTATTCTAGTTCAATAACTTTATTACTGACTAGATCTCGTAGGGCATGATGTCGAATATCAATATGTTTTGTCCTCTGGTGAGTACCAGGTTTTCTCGCTAGTGATATCGATCCTTGATTATCGCAATTTAATATAGTAGGATTTAGCTGATCGTAGCCTATCTCCCTCAATAATCCTCTCAACCACTGAGCTTCCTTCGCTGCTTCAGCCATCGCGATGTACTCTGCTTCCACTGTCGACGACGATACCGTAGCTTGTCTTTTTGAACTCCATGTTATCGGTGAGTCGTTCATCATAAATATCCAACCAGTAGTTGATCGTCGTGTGTCTTTACAACCTGCCCAATCGGCATCAACCCATCCTGCTAGATCGCTAGCCTCGCCACCGAGACGAATACCATGTAAACGAGTGGACCGAAGGTAGGTAATTACCATTATCCCTTCCTCCCATACTTTCTTCGTCGGTTTGGTAAGGTACCTAGCAAGGTATGAGGCCGCATATGATATGTCAGGTCGAGTACATGTGGCTAACCACTGTAGACATCCTATTAACTCTTGAAATGGTCGAATTTCACTTTCCACCTCCGACATCGAAGGATTTTTCGCAGTAAGAGGTAACGGTGTTTTTCGGTCTCGATGTAAGTCGTTTTCTGGAAACTTCTGAACTATCTTATCGATGTACGCTGGTTGGTTTAACCATATCGTCTTTTCTTCTCTGTTCCTTGTTACCTTCATACCTAAGATAGTACTTATCTCCCCCAGGTCGGTTATTATCCATCTTTTACCTAGCCCATCGAAAATTTCCTTAGCTTCTTCCTTCGATTTCGTGGCTAATACCAGATCATCGACATAGGCCAGCAGTATTGCTGCTCCCTTTCCTTCGATTTTCCCTTCTGGTCTGTAGTAAAGACCCCAATCTGATTCGATTCTTGAAAAACCTAGGTGAGATAATCCTTCGCCGAGTTCTATCCACCATGTCCTACCAGATTGCTTTAAACCGTAAAGAGACTTTATTAACTTCAAGGTATTACATCCAGGTTTCGGCTTTATCCCTTTGGGATACTTCATGTAAATTTCGACATCGAGTTTACCGTTTAAATACGCCCCTTCGACATCGGCCTGACGAATTTCAAGATCTTCAGTTGCTGCTATAGTCAAGAGTATTCGCAATGACCCCGATCTACCTACAGGTGCGAATGTCTCTTTGTAGTCGACACCTGGTATCTGTGAGAAACCTTGAGCTACTAGTCGTGACTTGTACTTTAGTAAGTTTCCCTCAGAATCTGTCTTCACTTTGAATACCCATTTACATCCAATGGCTTTTCGTCCCGGTGGAAGTACCGTCTCCACCCATGTATCCTTAGATTCTATGTTGGATATCTCTTTCTCCATGGATTCTAGCCACTTCTCACCATCTGGGCCGTTTACTGCTTCTTCAGGAGAGATAGGATCAATGAGAGAAGTATCACTTTCGATACCTGCGATAGAGGCGAGTGAGACTAACTTATTAGGCTCGCGACCGAAGTCTAGGAACGAGTCTGTTAGGCCTGCGAAACGGTGGGGGGGTCGAATAATTCGTCCGTGACGTGTCGTCACGATCCCCTCTTCCCCATCATTTCTTCCTTCCTCATCATTTCTCTCATTTTCGACGATATCGTTCTCATAGACCCAATTTCCTCCCCAAATGCCCTGTCCACGTCGTCTTTCAGTAGGTTGTGGACCTGTATTAGGTGAGTTGTCTCTGTCGACATCATTTCCTTGTTCATTATCGATATTTTCCTGTTCGCCACTTTCTGAGCGGTCGTCAAGGAAAATTTCTTCGTTGACAACGGGGTTTAGGTCTACTTCGATGGCGTCGAGAGGGGTTTGGATGACATCGGGCGACTCTCTAGTAGTCACCATTCGTCCTGTCGAGCGACGAACGTCTCGTGAGTGTTCGATTCGTCCCGATCCGTCCATTCTAACGATCCAACCGCTCACACCCTCATCTTGACCTAGTATAATGGCTGATGAACCCCTAGGTATCGTGAAGTTCGACTTCAGCCTTATCTCCCTTGGTATCTGAACAAAACACCGTTCACCGAATCTCCACACGCTATCTAGGTTCGTGTCTCTTCCTGTGAGTGATGTCCAGCCTGATTTACCACTGACACCAATTGATGTTTTCATAATTATAATGGCGGCGTATCTGACAGCATAGGACCAATATTCGTTCGGTAGTCCTGAGTCAAACAACATTGTTGATACCATCCCCTTCAAGGTACGTATCATTCTCTCCGCCACTCCATTTAATTCTGGTGTGTATCTTGGTGTGATGTAGTGGTTGATCCCTGCTGACAGGTAGAATTCCCTCATATCGAGGCTATCGAATTCACCTCCCCCATCAGACCTAATCACCCTCACTCTTTCACCAAGCTGTTTCTCCAACTTCGAAATACACTGTCGAACAATATCAGACGCTTCGTTTTTAGTCGTTATTGGTATAGCGAATACAATTCGACTCGCCCTTTCCACACCAACAAAGAAATATCGTTCACCTTTTATCGCCGGACCGAACGGACCAGTAATATCGACATCCATTCCTACTCCTTCACCATCTCCTTTTAACATTGGTGCTTCTTTATTCTTCGGTAGACGTGTTATCTTGGCCTGCATACAGGCGGGACATTTATCAGTTGTAAAGGGATCGTTCTTGTAAGTGTCCCAGTCCTTCTTCAATAGTCCCTGTCTACCTAGATTCTTTAGTTTGTCTACACCTATATGTCCGAGTCGCTGATGCTCAGATTCAAGTGGTGAAGTCGCCTTCGGTGTCGATATCACGATCATCGCAGCAGACATTGCTCTGCCGAATCGTACCGACCACAGTGAGTCATGTTTCCTCAAACCTAGTTTCTCTTTACCTTTACCTATCCATCCACCACCACTACTTAGATTCGCTTTCCACCCCCATGAGAGTAACTTCGAGAGGGAGAGAAGACTTATCTTTGCTGTGGGGACGTGATGTACATCTTTCAGTACCATTTTCTGTCCTGAATCTAGTTCGAGGTTAATGTCACCTGTTTCCCAAGCCGTCATTGACTTGCCAGATGCTAGTCCGAACACTCTCGGTTCCACTAGCCTTCTAATATTCGTCATTATCGACCTGTGAGGAGTTATATGGTGAGTAGCACCACTATCCACTACCCAGGTAGGGATTACACGAGTGTGGCTCACGTCATTAGACTCTGTAGCTAATCCCACCCACTCATTATCCTCAACCCACGGGTTTTCAATTTCTTCGGGCCATACGATGTTACTCGTGTACCCTTCGTCATCATCGAACCACGATTCTGTCGACATGGCCATCCCGGCCCATGCCTCGTGTTCACCATCCAATGACGAATACATCAAGGAGGTTTTGGAGTTATCCTTGGACTGGTTCTCATCCTTCGAGATCGTATGTCCTTTCTTATTATTCTTATTATTCCTCCATTTCTTTTTACCTCCATCCTTTACATCTGCGTTTTCTTTCCTGTTCGTATCCTCTCTTTTAGGTTTACGACAGTACTTCGCTAGATGTCCTACAGTGTCACAGTTATAACACTTTCTAGTTTCTTTCCTGGGCTGACCATCAGAGACATTATCTCGGTTCACCCTCATTCCTTTATCCCTTTCGGCGAACATCGCGAATCCCTTTCTATTGGTCCTACCAACAGGGCGCGCTTTACGTCTCGCCGTTTCTGCGTTAAAGGTCGACAACACTTTGTCCCATGTCCTCTCCTCTTCAGATACGGACATTAGTTCTACGTGGATGATCCTGTATGCTGGTGCTAGGATGGTATTGAGGAATAAACCTGCTCGTGCCTGTGAGTCAAAGATCAATCCCACCAATTTCGCTTCAGCCATTGTCTTCGAGAAATCCTCTACATGCTTAGCCATTTCTTCGGCCGTCGCATCTTCCCTCAAGTCATAGCTAAACAATGCTTGACGGACGTTCGTCTGATTCTCGTTCGTGGCTGTTACGTGCATTTTCAAGCAGTAATCCCACATCTCTTTAGCTGACATCTTCTCAGATAAATCAAGCATTACAGCTTCCGTCACTGTTCCCTTGATCATCCCTTGCGCTTTATTCTCCCTCGCTTGCCACTTTTCCCACTCTTTCAACTCTTCTCCAGTAATCCTTCTACCAACCACTTGTCCTTCGACGGACGTGGTAGGAGGTACTGATCCCGCCCTCTCGGTTGCCGGCCTAACCCCTTCGCGACCAGGTTCGGTATCATTACCTGAGACGACATTCCATACATCGCCTATCTGTAGATACACCTCGATCGCCTTCCTCCACAAAGCATACGTTGATGGATCGTAGGATAACTTGGGGAGATTTTCAAACGAAATCTTAGTCGACACTGAGGACATTATGAGAGGAGAGTAGAAGTGGAACTTGCCTTTATTATACACAGAGGTAAGTGGACTTCCAACTGTTAATCTGTTTGCTGATAATTAGATGGTAATACAGAGGGGAAAAAGAGCATGCATCAATTCTACATGTCTCTATACTTATCACATTCCACTCACACGCATAAAACCAGAGACGATCGAATAAAGTTCAGAGGATAAGTTGAACGGAGAAATATTCGACGGAAGGGGTAATTCTAATGGCGGTTCGGCCGTCCTGGCCCGATTCTATCGGCTAACACCAACCCAAGACCAAAATAATCAAGGGGACTTGCAGGATTATCCAATCAATGCAGCAGACAAGTCTTCTATTGACTCCCCGGTCTCAACTCGGGAACAAGTAATTGATGAGAGTTATGCTATTGGGGGAAGCGGAAGTTCACTTCTTCCGACATCTATGGCAAACATCCCAGTCAATCGTGAGAGCTCAGCTTTCTTAGGACAGACACGTTTACATGCAGGACTCGATGAGTCCAGGCGTTTGAAAAGGGAATCTCACCCCACAGAGAGTGCACCCTTCTTCTATAGAAGCACTGCACGTAAAATCAAGTGCACGTGGTGTCGCACGCAAGGGAGTTTTTGCAGCTTCAAAGATCCTACTGATCCGTCAAAAGGTTGCCAAGGATGTCAAGTGAGAGGAGACACCTGTTCTTTGACTGAATTAGCTTCAAATCAGGGTACATAGCCAACGGAAACCGCGGCCTACAAAGACTTTACTTGTCAGTCTCCATGGCTGTACTCAATGAGCAGTCAAACACTGCCCTCAGGTGCTACGATAAGTCATACAGAAACTGAAGCAATTGAGAGGAATGATGCATATGATGATGTGAGCATCATCACTACAATCCTCCATCATAGACGCTGCCATTGCCATTGCCATATCTACAGTGCATCGGGGGCTATGTGGAATCATGTTTCCCTCTTCTTCTGCACCTCTTTCCTCAAATTCCAAGAGCGACACCATTTTGCCAGATCTTCATACCCTTTGATTGTTCTACTACTTGTGAACTTCATGCTGACAGATATGGTAGCAATGGTGCTCCAGCCAGGAAGTTCAGCAATTCAACCGACACGATCTGTATGCACAGGTTGTAACAATTGATTGTGATTGCTCCCCACACGGCCCACTGTTCCACTGGGTTATGCTCAGGAGCAGATGTCGAAGATAGTCTGCCTCAAAGAGCTATGGGCTATAGGGCCTGGTAGTGAACAGATCTAGTGATGTAGTAGAAAGTCTAGTGATATAGTAACTCACAGAGACTTCAAGTCAATGAGAAGAAGTGGCAAAAGAGTTGATAAGTGATGAGAAAATACATTTGACATGACATCTATTGAAATGGGCTGTTTCTTCATAAGTTAGTAGAAAGGGAGCAGTGTCCTACCAAAATCTATGGAGTGTGTTGAGTGAGGAGGGAGGATTCATAGTATGAGGTAGAAGAGTGAAGTCAGATGGAAAGGGATGAGGGACATGGAGATGGAGGAAAAGTAGCATGTGGTGTCGAATTAGCGACTAGGTAGGAAAGGAGAGGGGGGGTACCCGTGATGGGATCGATGAGACGGAGACGGGAACGATCACTGGGAGTATGACTGTGAGGAACCCGTGACCCTGACAGTCATTGAACACCAGTCATATGTGACATGACAAATTATACAAAGAATGGACAAAGTGCACATCGAGGACAGCCATTTATTCCTTGTACAGTACATAACGGCTCAGGTCAAGATTTGGCTTCGGAGGATCTGGTTCTGACCTTGACGTGCCCAATCTTGCTGATGTTTCAATCTTGTGGAGCTTCATTTGTGTAAGTCGGTTTGCCAATTTACAGAAACTCTCGGGACACGTAAACACCGTCATATTTGCGGATGACACCCTTCTCCCTCTCGGTGCGCTTCAGTATATATACGCTTCAGTATATATAGTAAAGTACGTGATTTTACCTCACTGAAGTGGCAAGACACATACTGTATGGTTCAACTTGGCATAGGCGCCCGGACCTTGATATCACGTCAGACAAATCCAACCATCATACGGAATCCATGCATATGATAAACCAAACACAAATGCCTCACTCACCACCCGATCACTCCTCCTCTTCATCCCCTGACCCGACTCTCTTCCCACCATGCCCATGCAACTCTATATCCTTGATGAAGAAACTGGTACTCCACGTACATAAAGAAACCACGAAACTGAACAAGAATACCGTAGATAAACTACTAGCATAAGCGTCCAGAGCTAATTGGTCGTAGGGGGGAGATAATTGTCTGATGGAAGCTTTAGAATGTAGAACAGAGTTGATTATTTCGTTTGATTCTTCTATAGGAAGAGAAGAGAGACGGGATTTGAGAGCAGATGTTAGAGCGCCAAGTTGGATGGAACCTCCTGTGGAAACACCGAGGGTGACTCCGAGGGAACGTATCATGTAGAGTAATGCTGTTGCTTTGGGCTTGGTGCGCGTCAGCTGCAGCTTCTTTCACCAAGTCAACCTGAAGAGGTGTAACTATCTGATTCCTTACCCCCTCCCCTTCCTCCCTCACTCACAACCCTTCCTCCTTAACCCATCCCTTTGGCTTGAAGACGAGAGATGGCGGGGGATAGATTGAAAAGACTTTTCGTCGCCTGATCAAGCGACGAACAAATGACTGCGGAGAGGAGTTGGGTGCTGGAGGAGGTAGGGTTGACGGGAAGGAACGTCAGTGGAGGAATTGGTAGGGAAAGGGGGCACGAGGGACAAGAGATAAAACAGCTCACCATCAACTTGCTATCACAAGAAGCTATCAAAGCCACCAATGTAACACTCAAAAACACTGAATATCCAAGAGAACCAGGTAAGACAGTTGCGTAATAAGCCCACCATGGCCAATCGGGTTTCCAAGAAGCAGCAATGAGAGTACTGGTGATTCCTGGTATGAGAGAGATGACTCCTAGCCATTTGTATGCTCCACCATGACGTATGTATCTGGTTGTCAGTCGGGCTTTCAACACTTGCAACACTTGAAAAGACCAATATCAACCTCGATCGTGTCTGGAGGCGGACATGTAACAAGCTCCTTTTTTGTTTGAAATCGTGAGACAGCGGCCATGTAATCACATTTGACTTGAAGAGGGTGAATAGAGGGGTTCTTACTTTATCGATGTAAAGAGGGCGATCACGACAGTGGACGATATGTTGAAAAGCGAATAGAGGTTGGAGGGACGGAGAGGGCAGGGTCAGACTCACTGTCCGGCTATCAAAGATCCTGACGCTAATCCTAAACCTCCACATACGGACAAGATGACACCGGCTTCTGCGGTTGAGGTGTCGAGGATAACGGCAAAGTATGCGGGTATTTGGAACAACTGGTTGTCAATGTCATTCTTCGCCTTCATTATACATTCTCAAGGATAAACGCCCTTAACCATTGGTTTTCTAAAACCGTATGTCACATACAGAATCAAAGCAGCAATATAGAAGGAAGGTAGGATGGAGTAGGAAGATAATGGAAAAGTGGTGAGTAGTTAATGAAGCTCACAAGAAAGGAAGAAGAGGTGGAGTGAATGACAAAAGAAACTCACATAGGCCTGATAAGAAATACTCAAAAAGAATCCACCCAACATCACAGCTTTCACGTGTCCCGTTTTCAACACTTCTATGGGTATTACAGGTCTCTCTACTTGATGTTCAACCCACACGAACAAACAGCCCAGTACGATAGAGAACAACAAAGTGCCCCATACTCTTGGAGAAGACCATGGGTCGAGGAAAGAGGTGTGAAAAGAGAAACCGAGAAGCAGGGAAGAGACTGATCCGAGTAATGTGAAAGTGCCTAACCAGTCGATAGATTTGAGACCCGAAAAGACGGTTTGATGCGTTGGAGGGAGGGGAGCTTCGGGGGCTACAGAGGCTACCACCGTCGCGCAGAAGAGGACGACGGGTAGCTGAGGTTAGTGAAAGGTTTGAGTAATGGGGATATTGCACATAATGAGTGACTTCAGTTCGGTGAGACAAGAGGAGCGAGTGGGCGTCGAGGGTGGTGAATCTATAGGATGGAAGGGAAAACTTCGTTGAAGGTAATAGCCATAGTACCCTCGCATGGTACGGGAGACGAAGAACAGGCGAGGAAGAGATGGATATGCGAAGTAAAGGTGAACAACAACAAGGAGCTAAGGTGGATGAAATGAAGAAGGGGATAGAGAACAGAAAGGGTGAAGGGAATCACTCACTTGAACCCAGAAAGCGAAAGGCCAACCGAATCGATCCGCCAACCAACCAGCACAAGGTCCGCCCAGCATGGTACCAGCTCCAAATATAGACATCATGATCCCTTTTTCAATTCAACGATGACTTTTACGCAGAACATTGTAGGGAGTACATACCTTGAAACACCCCTCTTTCACGAAGAGGTACGAGATCGGTGACGATGACTGAAGAGACTGTGAGGAGACCTCCGCCTCCGAGCTGAGGGTGAGCAAAGTGTCATATCGTTATTTGTTTGCTTGAGAGATGAGTGTGGTATAAGGAAGACACTCACACCAGCAAAAGCTCTAGCAGCTATCAGTATCCCCATACTGGGTGAAAGAGCACAGAAGATTGTTCCTAGCCCGAAGAATGCACAGGCCGTTAACATGGCGAACCTTCGACCTAGAGTCTCCATGAGAATTCCGTAGACGGGTATGACTAGAGGTCAACTTCAATGGCTTGCAGATAAGGTCCAAACATACATGCCCTAAGGAGAGAACGAGTTGTTGTGATTCAGCTCTGTCCGACAGAGAGCAAAGGTAGACGACGACATGACTGCAAAGCACGAGAGTGGGATATGGGAGGCAAGTAAACGGGCTGAGTAGGAGTGGAAAGACGCCTACTCACCCCCCGTATTACACAACGTAAAAGCACTACCCAGATAAGTCGAAAATTCAGCTTGCTTGAACCCACTGCCTATACTCGGTGCCAAAGTCGGTATGGCCGAAGCTTGAAATGCGAATACGAAATTGGCCGACCATATTCCTATGCAAGTCAAGACGAAACGAAAGGTGGAGATGCTTTCTCTCAGAGGGGCAAGTCGGTGTAAGTTGGCTAAATTCAGCAAGTTTCTTGCCGAGTCTATACACTTTCGTGACCTATCACTCACCTGGTTGGTCAGGTCGGATAGCAGTTTGCGAGTCGAGGGAAGGAGGGGAAGAAGAGACCAAGAGGTGAGTACGTTCATCTGGTGGAGCAGCTTGAGTGATGATGATTGCTGTCATGGTGATGGTGGTAGTAGAGTAGCGGTGGTAGTAGTAGAGTAGTGGTAGTACTAGAAGAGTAGTAGTAGCAGTAGTAGTAAGTATAGGGAAGCCAACTTTGCGCACAACACGAAATCTCTTCACGCACAACATTGTCACGTGATTGGCCATTAGGCTTGCAACGGAGCCAAACTAGGCACGTGCGGTGCATGCGAGGACATTCCTTCCGACCCCTCTGTCCTCTGGTCAAAGTGAGGAACCCGTGATGATTTATTACTCATGACCAATGCATGAAACAATCTAGATTTTTATATGAGCATGTAGAGAACGTCCCCCTCTACTGATGTGGAAAAGTTTCAGACCCAAAGGTGAAGAACTGACTGAGTTGGGAGTGATGTCCTTCTACCCCTTCTCCCCATGTATGTCTAGTCGTTCCATGGCCATGAGTCATTGCTTGCTGGACGTTAAGTCGAGCTTTCTACTTGAAGGGGGTTATCGAGGGTGCTGAGAGCGATGGTCAGTGTGTTAAGATTGTAGCTACTCTCCTCTTGATTGCAGAAAGTGACGAAGTTGGAGACCTTGGTTAAGTGTATGAGGAGAGTGAAAAGGGGGATAAGCCATGTGGTTGCCGCGCCTAATCTTTTGGCCTGTGCATGCCTAACGGCCAATCACGTGACAATGTTGTGCGTGAAGAGATTTCGTGTTGTGCGCAAAGTTGGCTTCAAGTATAGGTGTGAGTGACAAAGAGGAAAAGAGGGGATCGCCGTCGGGCAACTCCGGTCCGAAATGCGGGGCTCCATTGGTTATCTCACAAGCCTATCCCACAACCGATCGATCAAAACGAGTGACGGCATCCTTAACTAGGCTCGGAACCGCTAACTAGACGCGGCATAGGGCGTGGACGGTTCGGGAGTTGACAAATGCTAATACTTTACTTGTTTATATTAGTATCTGTTAACTAAGTAACAAGTATGTATATATATAAGTATATATATATATTGAATGGTCTCGTGTTTACTTACTTACCTTGCACTCCCTCCTCTGTCAGCCATTCAATCTCTCTCACCCTCTCTACAAGCCAACCAACCATATTCCATCGTTATTCTCTCCTTCTCCACCTTGCTGTCCACCATGATCACTACCACTACTACTAAAGACGTCATCGCCCAGCTCGTCAAAGCCCCTAGGATCGAGTTTACGTTCGCTACTCCCGCCCTGCGTACCCGGTTTGGAATGCGTCAAGCGACCTTTGATCGCCTTTCTTCTCCTTGCCAACCTGTACCCCAGTCTTCTCTTCCTGCGTCATCATCTCATGGTAGCTCGATATCTACTTCTTCTTTCGACACTGACACTTCTTCCGCCTCGTCGTCGGGCTTCCTGACATCCATATCCGCCACAACCTCGATGAGTAGTATAGGGACCGGTGAGCACGGTCAAGACCCTCAGTCTTCTCACACCCACACCCTCTATATCGAGCTCTTAAAGTGCCTACACCAGGGGAAGACTTACAATCTCTCTATCGCTTGCTTCCAAGGTGTGAAACTCTTTGTCAAGGTCGCGCCCATGTATGGTGAAGAGGGGGATCGAGCCAGAAATGAATGGTCGATCTACGACGCAGCCCTGGGAGATTTAGAGGGTCAACTACATGGGGTACCACGACTATTCGGCGTATTCGGGGGCCACAAGATCGGTGACAACAAATACCTTGCACTTCTCTTCCTAATGGAGTTTCGTGGACATCCGTTCGACTCTCGCTCTCTTACTCATTATAGCAGTCTTTCTCCCATCCTGCCCGAACACGTAAAGTGAGTTTGTCCCTTACGTCTTCTTCCTCACCAGTATGTTTGGTGATAGTGCCCACACACACTCTCTTCTCTCTCTCTGTCTCTCATGGTTCTCTTCATCAACGATCGAGGCTTACGCTCACAGAGATGATGTGATAAGATTGACAAATCTCATTCACGATCGCCGGATACTCTACGGCCAAGACGGAAACGGTTTCAGCTACGTCTCCTCGCCCGAAGATGGATCAAGCGCTTTGGTAGATTTCACAGAAAGTCAATTAGTGTCCGAGGATGATATGGACGGGGAATGGTCCATCCTGATAGAGAATAGGCAGACCAAAATCTATCTGGGACGACTGAAGCTGTAAGTCTGTCATTCCCTTCTTACCTCCTCTCTCTCTTTCCATTCTCTTACCTAATCCTCTTTGCACCTACCCTCTTTGCCCTCTTTACCCTCTTTATCCTCCTTCTCTCTCCCGGACACTGGCTCACACACACAGTGACAAGCATATCGATGGGTGGACCGATTGTCCTATTCCACGCTTGCCAGGCGTCACCTATATCATACTTGACGGTCGTCCATGGCGACCAGAGGATATGCCTTGGTTCGGGCAGTGATCTGGATCGGAAACCGAAGTACGTGATGCCGTACGTCAGTTTGTAGATGTTATCTATGACCATGCATCTCGTAATATATTAATGGAATGCATCACCCCGATGTCCTTCCCACCTGTATCACCCGCCCCCTCTTCCTATTCCATTCTTCCTCCACCCTCAATCTCACAACTCGCTCACACAGCATAATGACTCAGCCTACATCAAACCACTTCTTCACCCCTTCCCTTTCCATCGACCAGCACCTGTCTCGCATCGAGTTTGACCCTCGACTCTCATACGATCAAGACAGGGAACCGTCAGAAGCCCAGCGCCGTATCACGAAGACCGGTCTGCTCATCGTCCAACGGACCTGGCCCCGTCTGGAAGATCTTCCCACTCTCCATGTGGTGAATGATCCGACGATGATCACCCGCCTCGAGGATGTCATTCGACGCGATTCCAATCCCGCCCCCTTCCTTTGCGAGCGACTCGAATGCCATCTCAACTCCATCAGGGACAAGATGGTGGGGAGAAAACTCACTTCGGAAAACCGGTTGACGACCCTGTCCTTGCAAGTAGCGAGGGCGACTGACGTACTCCGCCATGAACGGTCAGCCTTCCCAAGGAGACCGCTCATTGGGTCTTTTGAGTTGTCCGATACCCAGAATGCACTCGACTTCGAGGACGTCCGATTGTTGAAGGAACTCCTCCCTCCGAAGGCTCAGCCTCAAGGATCCGGAAAGCCCGATGTTGTCTTGGTCGATGCCAATGGGAGGATTATCCTTGCTGTCGAGGATAAATTTCGACTTGGATTTAAAGAGTTTTCGAAGTTTCTTGGGTGGTTTGCGGAAGGCCGGCTATCTGTTCAACTAACCGCAGTTAAGGCCCCATTTTTCCGGTCGATGGCAACGCAGGACTGGTGTCATCGTATTTGCCAGGTGAGTTCGCTTCCGAGCTCTTCCTTGCACAAACAGTTCTTGATAAGATTTCTGACGTACAGATATGGGAGGAGCTCGTGGTATGTAAATGCCCCTTCGTCATCCTGTCCGACCATGAGTGTTCCTTGGTGTTCTACATCCGGGATCTCCCTGAGAGTCGGGTTCTGGCTGTGTCAAATTTGATCAGACATGAACCCGAGGTCATAGGGCACATGACGTTGGCAAAGACCTACCTAGGCGTCTCGATCCTGGCTCAAGATGCTCTAGAGAGTGGTTGGAAACAGATACCGGTATGAGCTGGTAGGCTCACTTCTGGCCGTCTCTTTGTCTCATCTTTCCCGCCTGTCACTTGTTCCTGCTTTCTGGTGTCCGTTTTCTTGTTTTCGGTTTCGGTTGTTTTCGACTTTCATTGTGTTTGTGTGTCCATGTTTCCTGTGCCTTCTGGCCTCGTACAGATTGGGATTACTGTCGTTTCTTGTTATATGGCTCATTTGACTTGTGGTGTCATACCAATTCCAAAGTTTCTTGTTATTTTGATCTGTGATTCAATACTGGAGGTTTCCGTCCGAATTTTTTTGGGTGACAGCCTTGTTCCTTGTTTGATGACTCGATGCTCTGTATTTTGTTTCTCTCTTGTCAGTGTCACCCTCTCACTTGTACCATGGTCGCCTGCTATGGTTAGGTCTCGGTGGTTCTTCTATCTTCTGCCAGTCACTCTGTCACTCGTCTTCTGGTCTTTTCACTTGGCAGGCTCCCATTTCTTGATATGTGGCGTGACGTTCGGCGGTTTCGGTTTGTGCTACAGATCCTTGTCCTTGTCGGAGTTACTGGAGGCCGAGTAGAGTACTCGTACGAGTAGGGAGGCTTTCTCAGGTTTGGAATTGCGATCCGGAATAACTTGATGTTTGTAGTAGATAGGGTGAGTAGGGTTTTCTCCACGAGATTTCTTTTTTTTCCCCATTTGGGTTTTTTCTCGTGGAGTTTTTCATCCTACCACCGTTGGTGCATGCATCACGTGAACCAGCATGTTTTCAGTAAAGGTCGCGTATCCAAACAATCATACATCTGCCACTCGAGGGCTGTATGTGCCGATGTGTTTCCAGAAGGTCCACGCTGGTACGCTGGGATGGATATCCTCTTCGGTGAAGAATCGTCGTGAAAGTATTGTGTCAATGAGTCAATCCCTTTCTCATTGTTATATTCGAAGGATAACCCCACCCGTAGCCCAATGACTTCCCTCCAATCCCTTGGGGCGGCGTCCAATATCGAGGCATCACTTGTTTCTCGAGTGCTCGAGATTGTTTCCTTCGTGACGGTTTTATCCTTTCACATGATTTTGACTCGTCTTCATTTGAATGGCGACGGGCAAGTCTGGGGTGTGATTCGTTGGACATTGAGGGCAGACAATGTAGATTAGGTATCCAAGTTGGAATTGGGTAAGATGATGTAGATATGAAAGCGAGGGAAGGAAACGATGAGGTTTGTCGATGAGATGGGACGGAATGAATGGGAGATTCCAGACGGTAGGTGATTGAAGATGATGATGGTTGATGGGTGTATGTGTATTCGAGTGGTGCGTTGGAAGGATTATAAACAGAAGATTGTATGATTTTCCTTTTTCTATTGGTGGTACTGGGAGATAAAGGAATATGTCTAGGGTTTCTGCCGTGTCAGTTCAAATCCTTGGGTCACTCACTGTTTAGGGATATGATAAAGGCACTCACATTGGGACTGGATACTCTTCCAAAGGTTTATCCAAAGAGATGTCGCGTACATTAGAAAACAGCTTGAATTCTGAAGAGGTTAGATACCCCCTACCGGTAACATGACTGGCTTTTCACTGGTTGTGACTCACCTACCATATCCATCCCTGTTGGGTGATACGAACAAAGACGTGAATCAGAACCTTGATCGACTCTCAACCTCTCTCTCTCTTTCCTTCTCTTCTTCTTATCCTTTTGTTTCTCGGCTTTTGATCTGGGTTGATTTATAACAGGCAGGTCATTGTTCAACGGTGAGTGTTCCAAGTCAAGGGTTGGATGTTGGGAGATGGTGTGATAAGAGGGGAGATGGAACCGCGGATGAATACAAGTTGTGAGAAGGGCCAACAAGTCGACGTCGATATCGATGGCAGTGGTGTCGGTGGATGATACACCTCGCTGCTCCTGCTCTGACCATGATGATGACGAAGCAGAGGGGGAAGAGTGGGAGGGATACATTATTCAACTAAGTCAGTAAGTTATGTAGAGTAGTACAGGGATAAGTTTACTTGAAACTTTGCTCAGCGGCAAACTCCGCTCCAGGGGGGAGATGTCACGTGACCATGGTCCGAGCGCAACGCAACATTCCCCCCCACCCCCAAAAAAGCGGCAACCATCGTCCCATCTCCCATCCCTCTCTTCCTCCACCCCTACCTATATACATGTATATATATATATATATATACTCATACACCTCCCATCTCCTCCTATCTCTTTTCATTTATCCATCTCGTCCACCTGCCACCTGCCTGCACCCCACCCACCCCCCGCTTCGGAACCTCTCGTCCACTCAAACCACCCCCACCCCCCCCACCATGTCATTCCATATCCCTCCCCGTCCTTTCAACGTCGGGATACTCGCCATGGACATGTATTTCCCCAAGCGATGTATCTCTGAAGGTGCTTTGGAAGATTTCGATGGCGTTTCTAAAGGCAAATACACCATCGGTCTGGGACAAAAGTTTATGGCTTTCACCGATGACAAGTGGGTCAACTCTACGCTCATTCTTTTTACCCCCCCTCCTTACTCTCTTTTACTCACTCCTGGCCAATGCTGACGCTTCAGAGAAGACGTCAACTCTATCGCTCTCACAGGTGAGCCATCTCTACCTCATCTCACACGTACCGACCCTAACCACCAGTCGTCTCATCCCTTCTCGAGAAATACAACATAGACCCTCTCTCCATAGGCCGTCTAGACGTAGGTACCGAAACTCTCATCGATAAATCCAAAGCCACCAAAACGGTCATCATGGAACTCTTCGCCAAACATGGCAATCACGATATCGAAGGGATAGATAACAAGAACGCTTGTTATGGTAGTACCGCGGCTTTGTTCAACTGCGTCAATTGGATACAATCGGAAAGTTGGGACGGTAGAAACGCCATCGTCATGTGTGGTGATATTGCCATTTATAAAGAAGGTGGAGCTAGACCTGTAGGTGGGATGGGAGCTTGTGCCATGTTGATTGGACCTGATGCTCCTTTGGTCTTGGAGCGTGAGTTTACTCCTATTCGCTCGTCGTTGTACTGTGATCCCATCGCACCTTGTATCATGTTTCGATAAGCTTGTCCCCCCGTCCAATCTCCACTTAGTATCCAAACTAACTTTTAGCCGTCCATGGGACATACATCGCTCACACGTATGATTTTTACAAACCCGATTTGTCTGCGGAATATGTATGTGGCCGTTCATTCTTTCTCTCAACCTCCTTTGACTCACTCTTACTTCAACACACATCACCCTTGTCATCTCATTACACCCACCTGCATGAGATGTATGCCTCCTTCTAGACCTCACTTGTCCTGCCTCTCTTTCTCATTCCCCTTCCTACCATTCATCCCTGCAACGTAACGCACCGCACATTCCACCTTCCTTTCCAATAACCCACACCCTATAAAGGGAATAAGAATTGAGCTTGGTCTGACCCCAGCCAACTGTCGATGGCCCTTGGACCATAGCAGCTTATCTCGGCGCTCTCGACGCCGCATACAACACTTATCTCGACAAAGCTGCCAAATCCCGTGCTCGCGCTGCCAAACAAATATCTTTGTCATCCGTCTCTGCCGCTCTTTCCGACGCTGCGGAACATGCCGTTGACGCTATCGCCAAACTGGCCAATGGGGGTTCTCAAATCAACGGGAATGGAGTCAATGGGCATGGGTCAGAGGGACAAGAAGGCATAAACAAGTTTGATTATGTGTGTTTGCATAGTCCGTATGGAAAGTTGGTCCAGAAAGGTCACGCTAGGATGTTTTATAATGTGCGTGGGGGTCTCTTTGACGGTCTCTTGTATACCTTTTCCCATGAATTGACCCCCAGGACTACCTTCGAAACCCCTCTTCCCCGCACTTCTCCTCGGTACTCCCTGCTATAAAATCTCTAGAAAAGACCAAGACGTACACCGACAAGACTGTGGAAAAGACGTTTTTGACTTTGGCCAACGATCATTACAAGTCGGCCGTGACACCGGGATCGGATTGCGTGGCGAGGTGTGGGAACATGTACACGGCGAGTTTGTACGGTGCGTTGGCCAGTGTGTTGAGTAATGGTGATTTGGCTGTGAGTTTGAGTTTTCCGAGTGACCTGCGATGTATCAATACCTGACATTCAGCTCGGCCAACGTATCGCCATGTACGCATTCGGATCGGGTTGCGCAGCTTCTTTCTTCGTCATACGTGTCAATGGTTCCGTGCAGGACATCCGAGAGAAATTGAGACTGAAAGAGAGGTTGGCTTCCATGGAGGTCAGACCGTGTGAGGAATATGTGACGGCGTTGAAGGTGGGTTTCTATCTCGGCTCGTGCTTGTGGTTTGTCTTATGGTACACTATTGACACGCAGCTACGGGAGTCCAATCATAACGCGGTGAAATATACACCTCAAGGATCGTTGGACGATATATGGCCTGGGAGTTATTACCTCGAAGGGGTGGATGAGTTGTTCCGTCGGACTTATAAGAGGAAGGAGTAGGGTGGAGTTGTGTTACACGTCGCTTTGAGTTGATGGACGTCGACTTGAATTCCTGACATTGTCAGTCACCTATGCGATGATGCATCGTGGACCAACTCATCTGGGATGAGGTGTGAAAAAGGCGAGTGGGCAGGGGGGGACGTACAAGTATAGGGGGATGGATGTCTAGGTCAAGTGGGGGAAAGGGAAATGCATCTAGATACTTTTGTGTGACTATGTCCCCAATGACGCTCCCTCTGTCTTTCTAGCTGGCAGTCACCCACACGTAGTCGTTAGCAAGACAAAGTAAGATAGAGGTAGATGTCAAGTGAGACGGTAGCATAGCTGTACGTCGAGTCGGTCGGAAATGCCGGGCCGGGCTACAACAACTTGTTCTCTTTCCCCTCTATCACTCACCCTTCATCTACACCCAACCACGTCGAGTGGATTAGTATAGCGATCTAGCTTGTAGACCCATCGCACGTGTTCATCCAATACCAACTTGTTGTTGATCAGACCGAGTAACTTTTGTTATAGGTTTAGGTTTATATTGAATCGAAACACGTTCGTTCCATCCAAACATTCCTCACACTAATCATCTTTCTCTCTCTCTCTCTTGTGGTAAATCCCATAGTTATACTTGAATATACAGCAACAACCTTTTCACTCCCAACCATACATACACATTGTTAGTGAGAGAGAGACGAACATCCATCTTCATCTCCAGAGATCACACATCATTCCTCTCACGCCATTATCTCTCTCTCACTTCTCTCATCTATCCCATCATTTTGATCCACACTCTACGCCGTTATCTACCTCCCCTCTTATCTCCGAACTACTTGTATGTCGAACAAAGATCTGCGACGAGTTTCTAGGCATCGGGAAAGGAAAGATACAGTATAATCGGATCAAAAGAAAGAGGATTGTGAGATTGATCTTCAGACATTTTTTCATACGTCACGTCATCATTTCATCGCTACTACAATACTACTCTTTTCTTACGAATCTATCGCTCCTTTTATATCACTCTTACGGCGAATCTCTTCTTCTACTCGGATATCCAATACAGATTGGAACCAAGGATACATTTCGACCTGATTCGAGATTTCCAAGTGCGAAATTGGATTCCGGTTGGGATCGTGGACTGGGATTTGGGGTTTGAAAGTTTTAGAATCCGGTCTGGATCAGTTGGGTCAAAGAACGAAATAAGGGTAGGAAAGAGAAAGACGATATGACTCTCAAGAAGGTATGTCTCTCACTTTATTTCACCTCATGATCAGCTTGTATCTATCATCTCATACGTTTCTCTTCTTTCCCAATCCATCCCTTGGGCCCCTCGGCTTGAAAGATGTCTCAATGAGACTTGTAGGTCATACATACTCATACGTCACCAGTTCGTTCTCAACTCACAAACAGACCAGCTGAGACATCTCACATGAGCCATCCTCCGCCCATCAGGCAAAACTCGGACCTGTCTAGGTCTGAAAAGTGTATCACACATTCCATGCAACCTCGAACACCACCTAAACTCTCTACCTCTCAGGATGCGGCACTACCTCCGTCTACACCTCCTCTCGCAGCTCAAATCGACCATTCTATCCCTTCCAATATTACTTCCCTCAATGACGACATTTACGACTTTTGTAATCACCCCACCGATCTGTCAGAATCTTCCATCGATATGCTATCTCAAACGGTCACCGATAGTCAATCTACGTCGGGTTTGTTTTCCGAGATACGACCTTTACCAAAACCCACCCGACTCCATCGAACACGGTCCCGCAAGGAGAAAGATGCGGTTGGTCGAATAGATGACCGGATTGATAGTGGGAACGAAGATGTCTCACGTCAACAAGGAAGACCAACTTTGTCAGAACGTAAACTCACAATGAACAGGAGTAAATCTCGCAAGGGCAAGGAGAGAGAAAGAAAACCTAGTGATGACAGACTTCGACTTTTCAAAGACAAAACTTTGATGAGAGAAGACGGATCTGGTAAAGATGAAGTAGGAATAGCGACAATCTCTCTGCGTCAATCAGTGGTAGACCGTCTTGTTTCCGATGACCCTGATGATGATTCACATTCTCATCTCCCTACACCCTCCTCTGTGACTTTGAACAGACAGGGATCGTTTACCCAACGACCACCTTCCACTCGTTCAGATTTATCCTTTCCTCTCCCTCTTTCCACCTCGACCACTCAGCCATCTGTTATCACGACATCTATCTCCCGTCATGGTGCACCTGCATCTTCTACCTACACATCACAACCGACTGATCCACAATCTACGTACGCTCCCTCTGCAAGCATTCGTACGAAACATCCCCCTCCGAACCTGACATCGTCCTCTGGAAAGTCCCGAAAACACCGGGCGAATAGTATTCACCTCCCTTCACACCCCCCTGCCGCACCACAATCATTTTTCCTTCCTCATTTCTCCACCGATCAAGCGTATTCTCTCCCTCCGAGACCATTCCAACTGGACCTCGGTCTCGGAGAAGACTTCGATGCCTCTTTTGGAGAAGCGCTTCGGCGTGGGATAAGCGGTGAAGAAATCTCTCTCCCTCGAGAAGCACTTCGAGTGTTGAATGAAGCCAAGGAGAGTTTAGCCGAAGGAGAAGGCAAGAAGGCTGGTAGAAAAGGGAGTATAGGATTGGGTCTGTTCAAGGAATCCAGACAGGTTCGTGAACTTCAGAAAGAAGATACGATTCTCGAAGAAAAGTCAGAGCATCAAAGTCCAAAAGTCGGTTCGAGGTCAAGATCGATCACATCGACATCGAATAAGACGATAATTCCAAGTATGATGAAACGTAAAAGCACCTTGTCGACAAGGTCAGATCTATTGGCTGATGACACTCATCACGGATCGCATTCTGAACAAGGGAAAAAACAGGAGGGTGAAGATGAGGAAAAGGAGATTATCGAAAATGCCGGTATACGTCCACCATATGCCAACTCTCTCTCAAAGGTCATGCCATCACTCGGTCACGTTCCAGAAGCCAGGCCACGACCGTCAAATGATCCCGACGTGAGAGCTAGCAAGACTCTCGCTTACATCCTTCGTCATGGAGCCCAGAAGGAACAACTTCATATTCGGTCTGATGGCTTCGTTCGACTCTGCGACGTTCTAGCCCGTCCCAAAATGCGCGAGATAGACCTCGACATGGTCCTCCGTATCGTCGCTGAAAATGCCAAACAGCGTTTTGAACTTTTGTGGGGATACGATCCTTCTCCTCCCATCAAGAAGAGACCAAAGCCACCCAAGAAGTCCAGACCCCCGCCAGGTATCTCGAAGATAATACCCGTTCGTGTCGACCATGAACGGCCTCTCGTTTCAACGAGTTTGGACGTCGGAAAAGGAGTAAACGCCAGTAATCGAGTAGACGCTTCAGAAGTGGACAATGTGGGAAAGGATCCACAAAAGACAAGAATCACCTCGGACATATCTGAGCCCACAGAATTACCTCTGATCCGACTTCCTCCTCCTCAGACCAAAGACAATACCGAAGGAAAAACCGAAGAGGATGACGGTCAGACAAAAGGTGAATGGTTCATCAGAGCTACCCAAGGTCATTCCATTCATCTGGAAACCACGGCACTTCTTACTCCTGTCATGGACGATGAGGAGGGAAGGAGGATAGTAGGAGAGATGGTACATGGTACAAAGTGGGAGTTATGGGAGGTGATCAAGGATCAAGGTCTTAAACGCATGTCTCGTCAACACATCCATCTAGCTCCAGCTTTGACAGATCATCGTATCACTCCCCGACCCAATTCAACGCTGCTCATCTATCTCGATCTCGGCGAAATCCTTGCGGCGGGCATACCAGTTTACGTCAGTTCGAACGGTGTCATACTTACACCTGGCAATGAGGACGGGGTGATCCGGAAAGAGATGTGGAGGAAAGCAGAGAGGGTGGAGAAGGAAGAGAGGGTCGTAGTGTGGGAGAACGGTAAAGAAGTGAACGGAGAATTGACAGATACAATCAGTTCTTCATTGTCGAGAGAACGTTCTCATTCTTTTCGACACTTACTTCATCGTCATGGATCAGTTGCAAAGGTTTCAACAACTAGATCAACATCATTAACTTCACCCGTAAAAGATTCCCATTCAGACGATAGGATCTCGCCGACTTCCCCAGTCAGACTTCGGCGTGAATCTTCACGGGGACATTCGTATGACTCTCCTACAAGGTCTCACTTCGGTGTCACTGGATTTCCTCTCAAAACACCCCCAATAGGAGGAGAATTTAAACCGACCAGTCCATCGACACACCTCGACTTGATCTCTCCTTCTCGTCATGAGATTGACACATTATCTCCTTTGGTACAGCTGCATCCGAATTCTCTCTCTCATCATGAGATTGACACATTATCTCCATCGGTACAGCTGCATCTGAATCCTCTCTCTCGCTATAAAACCCACACCGCAGTTCTCAAGGAGACGGGCCGAGTCGGGGTAGAAGAAGAGCAAGATGAAGTATTCATGTCTTCCGTTTTAGACGACGAAAGTTGGTCCACAACTGAAGAATCGGCAAGTGAATCTGAAATATCCGGGAACGAAAAGTTTGAAGACGAAGTAGAAAGGAAAGAAGGGAAAAGAGGGGAAGATGAAGGAGGTGGAATGACGGTACCTCTGAAACCATTTAGTCATGCGGTAGGAGGACACAGTGCTATTTACAAATTCACCAGAAGGGCGGTATGTAAGGTGAGTGATCTTGTTTTCATTCCTCAACTTCACGCTCCCTCCCCCGTGGTGTGTTTAGTCTTCAACGTGAAGTCTTCTTTGTCAACACCTCCCGAACCGTTTGTTTTCCTTTCGTCCTTGAGCTTTATCTCATCAGGCTCATCAACTTTGTCTGCGTGTCTCGTATCATACCTCTCCTCGTCCTTTTTTTTTGCTGTTGACATCCCTGTAGACGCTGCTGTGCTCTGCTCAATCGCTTGTGCGTTATCCACTACCCTGCCAAGCTCACAATCTGTGCATTCTCAAGTTTTATCGTCGATGAGGCAAAGGCTCTGCGAAGGATACCTTGCTGACCTCAGCCCCTGGTTTCCCGGGAAAATCTCTTCTACGAAGAAGTGGAACGTCTCGCCCCTGCCCTGCTTGCGTTCATCCCTCGATACCTTGGCGTCATGATGGTCAATTATCGTCGTTCTCGACTCCCATCTACCGCCGCTCCCACCGAAGGCACCGTCACCCCACTCCAGTCCTCTCATCAGGTCTCACCTACCACGTCCCACCCTCCTACTCCCAACAACCTGTCCTTCTCTCGACCACCGTTTCAAAAATCCGTGTCCGCACACAGTCATCACGATGAGATCCCCGAAGTGTCTTTAGACTGGAACCGACACGTCGTCCCCGATTGGTTATTCCGCAATCAACCCTTCCGTCGATTAGGTCCCAGACCGAGTGTGGTGAGTACCACGAGTGAGGATGAAACCCGTCATCGTAGCCGTGATAGAGGTGATGAAGAAGCACGGTCACCTGTATCGCTATTTCCACGTTCACAAAGTCCTTCTTCTTCAATTGATAAACTATCTTTATCGGCATCACAATCATGGATCTTATCCCATTGTCCATCGACGCCATCTCACCCGATGGGTGGACTTGCCATCCCTCGTCCCATTAGAGAAATCGATGAACCTGCCACTCCTGCCCCATCTCCTAGATCATTACATCATACAGTTTCTTCACCCGCTATCGGTAGACGTCTCCTTGCCAATCTAGATGAGAGTCATATACACAGTGGAGCATCTTCACCCCACGGATTTGGAGGTACGGGAAGTACAACAGTCAATACTAAGTTGAAAGATCACGTTTTTGGAGCTATTCTCAAAAGATTGAGAAGGAAAGGTGTCCATTCTCGAACATCAGCATCGACGTCTGATGCCGGTTCACAAAGAGATGGGGAAGAAGCGGATGATGAAGATGGTGAAACGAGTTCGGGTAGGTTGAAAGTTTGGTCAGAAGGTAATGTTAGAAGGACGAGGAGTGATGTGGCTTTGGGTGAATTGAGAGAAAGGGTGTCGGAAAGAGATGGGAGGTTTGGAGAGGATGAAGGTGAGATGTTTACCATGGATAGATTGGATGAAGGGGAAGAAAGTGATGAAGGATTTAGGTTTCCAAAAGAAGAGGTGAAAGGTTTACAACCTTCTCCTACTATCGTCCGAAGGTCTGTTGGAACATCTCAGCATTCAAGTCGAACAGATACCGACCAATCCATCAAACGACATGATTTCACGACTCCGGAAAACCGGTCAAATGTAGAAACGCATGATCCTTTCCCTCTTCCTCATACAATCAAATCACCGGATCAGACATCTGTCTCAAATCATCAGAAAGATGTCGATGACAATAGCGTTTTGAAAGCGAAGAACGATTCCAACGGTCAACATCTAACATCTTTGACGTACCCGTCAATCGGAGGAAATCAAAGTTTGAACACCCTAAATCCAGAGGATATCACCAGACAAGAATTATTCATCTTTATGGAAGATTTGACGGGAAGGTTGAAACATCCTTGTGTGTTGGATCTCAAGATGGGGACGAGACAATATGGATGTGATGCTACTCCTTTGAAGAAGAAAAGTCAGAGGAAGAAATGTGATTTGACCACTAGTAGGACTTTGGGAGTGAGGATGTGTGGGATGCAGGTGGGTCAACGTTTTCTCTTTCCCCGGCCTCCTTTCTTCCCCACCTTCTATTCTTCCAGCTTTCTCTCTTCACCACCTTCTCTTTTCCAAGCTTTCTCTCCCCTCGCACCACGATGGACGTCCAACTATCTCACGGATGGAAATGCTGTGGTGCCCATCTTACTTTCCCCCCTCATGTCCTCTCCAGCCCAATAGAACAGAGTGCAAACGACTGTCTCCCGACGTCTCCGGGTAGATGCCATGTTGCAGCAGTGAATGGATGGAACAGCTTGGGATTCCAGCTGACCTCAGGTATGGCACCCATCCACACAATCCTTCTCATCCAAAGACAAGTATCGCGGCCGTGAGCTAAAAACCGCCGACTTTGCCCGTGTACTCCGATACTTTTTACATGACGGCATCAAGCTTCTCATCGATCACATCCCCTTGCTAGTTCGAAAGTTACACCGACTGGCCTCCATCGTCCTCGGTCTCGACGGTTTTAGGTTTTACGGATGTTCTTTGTTGTTGATATACGATGGTGATGAAGATGCTCAAGATCATTTCCGACGTCATGCGAGATTACCGATTCATGATCCTCATTCTGTCGTGATATCAACTCGTCTTGCTCCACATCCTCATTCCGCATCGCATCTTTTATCGCACTCTCATTCACATTCCCATTCGCACTCTCAATCTCAATCCCACTCTCGTACTTCCCATCCTCCTTCACCCTCCTCACATCCTTCAAAATCACGTAGGAGTCGTTCGGCTGACGCACACCCTCACCCTCACTCCCATCGACGACCTAACGCTACCAACACTCAACGTCTCAGAGGAGAAGTCAACATCCGCGTCGTAGATTTCGCTCACACCACCACCGGGAAAGATTTCGTTCCCTTTCCTCCTGACCTTCGTCGGGCGGAAGCTTCTAATCCTGAAGGTCTTGGGAAAGGGTATGACACACCTACGGATCCAGTGACGGGATTGGCTATGGCTCGATTCCCGCCGAAACATCACACCACTCCTGACATGGGGTTCCTGTTTGGTCTTCGAAGCGTATGCGAGGTGTTGAGAGAAGTTTGGGAGATGGAGATGGAGCTAATCAGGTCGGAAGGTGGTGGTGATACGAGGGAATGGGGGGATGTGTATGGAGACGTTGGGGTAGAAGATGATGTGTTTGATAGAGCTTTTGAGGGGTTCGACATGGCTGGATTGTCAACTTGATACATGGCGTGGGATTCCTTGGGTCAAGATCCACTCGACGGCTGTTTCGTCCTGATGATGGCCTCATGACGGCTGTTCAAAGTGCGATACCCTACCTGGATTTGTGGTGGCTACAGAGTTTAGTACATTCATGGAGGTAGCGGGATTGGGCGGTTGGTAAGTTTCGAATGATTGACAAAAGACCATGATGGGTACATTGGGATTCGGAGTAACATATGTTGTGGGTGATACAGAGTACACTTTGGGCTGATCAATGTAGCAATAGAGATGCATCTCTTACCTGTCATCATGGATCTGAATCAAACAATCATCCTTGATATCCTTTCGCCTTTACGCTCATGTATGACTCAATACCGATGTCGATCCCTGTTTGATTCAACTGACAACCCTCCTCATCCTCCCCTGCCCTTCCATGAGATACCGATGCGACGTACTGTATTCCCCTTCCTCCCTGCATGAAAAGGACAACATGACATGACGCCCTCGATGAAGAAAGGGAAAAATGACAACTCCAACGCAACATATTCCCCCCAACTCCCTCCATTCAAAACTCCAACACACTCTGGCATCTATTGTTTGAAAAGGGGGAAGAAAGTGACTCCAACGTAATCTCTTTAACCCCATTCACCCTCCATAGAAAACGCTAGCACACTCTGACGTCTCCGGCGGAGATAGGGGTAGAAAGGATAGAGAGCGGTGTTACATGTCTCAAACAATATGAAAGGATGGTATTTGGTCCTTCCATTGCTTGGGGGTTTGAAGAGGTGAGGGATATATCAGAGACTTGACTTTGGTCGTTGTTTTTTTCTTTCCTTCGATCTTCATCTGCGTTTACATTCTGACAATCAGACAATTTACTCGTATCTTACTAGACTTTATCGTCTTTCAACTTACGAATCAATCTTCAAATACACAATTTGATACTTTGACCTCTTACTTGATTTCTCAAGTTTCGTACTCTAGCCCGTTTCCCGCCCACTCACGTCGTGATTTCAAGTCTCATACTCTGACCCACTAGCTACTTCCTTTTCAAGGATCAACCATCGGGTCTTGACTTTGGAGCTGAAGTACTGATCGATTAGAAGTACTCACTCGTTACTCTTTGTTATTCTGATCCAACGGTCCCTATTTTCTCGCCCCGTTACTTAGACTCCCACCGAACTCGAATCAACTGTTCTCATTCTACAACTGGGACACTTCAACCAACGTCAGCTCAGTCTCTTCCTTTTTTTTCAAGCAGCACGACCAAACAGGAAAGTGACCAAAGACAAAATGGCAATCTTCATGCGTCCCAACCATCCAGCTATTCACACTACTCATCTAGGTCTTTCACCTCATTTCTCCCCTTTATCACCCACATCCCCCTTATCCCCACTTTCCTTCTATCCTAATATTCTTTCTCCCTCCGGAGAGCTAAAGGGACTAGGTGGACTGGGTAATTTTGACGGACCGGGTCTAACCCCTGTCTCCCCCATTTCTCCCCTCTCGCCCATCTCCGGGGAGAATTCTCCAATCTCGGGGAAAGATTCCAAGAATAATTCGGTGAAGAATGTGGCATTGAAGAAAACGAATATCAAACCTACCGCTGTTTTGGAAGAACCGAAAGTTTCTTACGCCATGTTGAGGGCACATCACGCGACGGCTTGTAAGTATGTGATTGCAAAGTTGAGGTGGGAACAGACGCATAATGGTGAGTGGCTCGTTGTTTTTCCTCCCTGTCACTCAGTATCAACTCTCACACTCTCCTACATGGTATCATTCTTTTTCCAATCGTCCAACAACAATGCTGCCTCGATACGTTCACAACGATACTGTCTCGTAATGTTCACAATAAATGGTTGTGAGGCGTTCGATCGCCCTGGAAGAGGAAGGAAAATCGGGGGATTATCGTCATTCAGGAAAGAAGGAAATAACTGACCTAACCTCAGAATACATCCCAGGAGAAGACGCATGGCACAATCATAATCGTATGATTCACAAATTAGAAGAAGAATTACACAATTGTGAACAAGCAATGTCACTTGATATCTTCCCAAACGTTCATATACCCGTTTCTTTCCCAAAACTTCATGGACCACCAACCAAAGAAGAACATGAAAAGAAAATAGAAGAAGAAAAAGCTAAAATAAAAGAACGTGATGCTAAATTAGATGAACAATTCCCGTTCTTGAAAAAACTTTTCATAGGTCCACGAACTAAAGAACAAGCTAAGAAAGATAAATATCTACGTGAACAATTAGCTGAAGGTGATTTTGAAGATTTGAGCGCTTTGTTACCTAGTGAGAATTTGAAGTTGTTAGCTGAAATGGGTAATAAGAAACCTGTCAAAAGAAGCTTTGAAGGGTTAAGGATGGAGAGGGAAAGGAAGAACATTTTGGAAAATTTGAAGAAAGAAGGAATGGAAATTCCTCCTGAATTGATCAAAGAGGTAGAAAGGGATATTCAAAAAGCTAAATTGGCAGAGAAAGAAAAAGAGAAACTTGATAAATTGAAAGGTGTAAAACCTAAAGTATCAGATCAAGATAAAGAGAAGGAAAAAGATAAGGAGAAGGAAAAGGAGAAAGTCAAAGGAGAAGTAGTTGTTCCGAGAAGAATTTCAAAACAAATCGGACCAGTTACTAAAAGTCAAGCTGAGAACCCTGTGGAACAAATTCATGGTCCGAAGACAAAGGCGGAAGCTGCATTGGCTGTACAGAAAGAACAGAGACAGGTCATTCTGACTTGGTTGAAGAAACCATGGGGACAGTATGATCCCGAAGCGGCGGAATACATGGCTAAATTGGGAAACGTGGCTTTGAACAGGATGAAGGAAGGTGGAACGAGGAGAGAATCGGTGAACAAGTCTGTAGATGGGGATAAGGGGGACAAGATAGTCAAGGGGAAAGAGGAGAAAGATGTCAAGGTGGTCAAGGAGGTTGAGGAGAAGGTTAAGGATGGTAAGGAAGACAAGGTGGACAAGGGTAAAGAAGAGAAGAAAGTGGCGAGAGTGGAAGAGGAGAAAGAGGAAGAGGTTTAGGACGAGTGAGCGCCAAACCCATGGTTTCCACATTCAAAGGCCAGTGGGTTCATCCGCTTGTCGACAACGATAATGTCTTCACTCTGAATCGTGAGTCGTGACTTGAGCTGTGTAGAGATGTATAAATTCTGAAGTTTTATGTAAATGCATGTGTTCTACCCCGTTCCGACTAACATACTGATCTCACTGATCATACCTGACACCATCAAAATACACACGCGACCCACTCTCGTCGTCACGGCCACAGCTTCGACCCTCGACGACCATCAATCAGACGAAAGAAGCAAGAAGCCAATCGTGTCATCCCCCCTCAAGTATGACATTCACATGCATGCACCTTCTCACTCTACTCCATCCTAATCACGTTTTACGATTAGGTAGTCCAAGGAAAAAATGAGCAGCTCGGCAACTCCTAGTCCTACAACCCCTAAACACTTTATCTCGAAATCTTCATGTCCGGGAGATATGAACCAAACGAATTCACATGGTCAGTCCCTCCCGCCCTTCCTCGTGACCTCCTTCTCTCATCTTTTGTAGCTGGCGCTCAGGTTCATTGGGCCCTTGTATACGTGACAACCTGAGAACGCAAGAGGCTGGATACGATAGAAAAGGTGAGGTGAGAGGGAGTTTCGAGCTAAACGACAGGACAACATAAATGGATCGTTAGACCTGAGAATCGATTTGGTATCATATGGGACGTCGCTCTCTGTCGATGGTGCGGTACAGTCCTCACTCAATCCAAACGTTGAACAATCGTGCCTCCCTGATCTCACCTCCTACGAGTGCCCATCGACTCATCGACCCATCAACCCTTCAAACGCATCGAACCAAGTAACATACCTTCCTCTGCCGTTCAGTGTACAACCCCACGACATTCTCAAAATAACCTTCCATTCTCTTTTCTTCTTGTACCGTATTTTTATGTGACTTTGTCTGTTGAGAAGTATAGTCGGTCGAGGCTGGGGTATGGATGTATCAATTTTATCACGTCGAAGCTCATCTCCTTCATCTTGGTCTTCTTCAACAGTTTTCATGCTTGTGACTATTCATCTGGATATGATCTCGTCTCACCTGAACCTCATCGATCTTACTTTTCTCAACTGACTGATCTTATCCACAAATATGACCTTCTCTCGACGTACGAGAGACCATATCCTTACTTACTTCCGTAAACCTATCCGACCTCAACGCGTGCGTCGTTCGGTAGAAGTCAGAGAACACGAGGCTTCTCACCCCCCTCGAACATCTTTCCTCTACTCCCCCTGCGCCCAACAACGTCTTCCGGTCGATGACATAGTCATCCCGCTCATTTCTGCTCTACTTACCCATCTACATTCAATATTACAATCTTTAAGCCAATTAGACCATAAGAAGTCTTTATCTCCTTCCTCGACCAAGCCCCGACTGTCACCAAACAGCTACCTGTCATCGACAACCTTGACGACGGGTTATCGTCAGTAGGGACAGTAGTATCAATTGACAGACCAGAAAGAGTGGAAGCGAGAAGAACAGGAAGCGGATCAGACAAAGCTAAGAAGGGGAGAGACAAGGATGTCTGAAATGGTTGGTATTGTCGAAGGAAATGGGAGCAGATCTGAAACGATTGTGAATATCGAGGAAGACGAATGGGAATCTGAACTTTGTCCTGGAGATCCTGAAGCGCTCAACAAAGGTAGTAAGTACCCTACATCCTAAGCCTCATTCCGACCTGTCCAATTCTCATCAAACCTTCCCACTTCCTCTCAGTTCGCCGTCAGCTTGGAAAGTGAAGATAAGGGCAGTGTCAATGTGTGGCATGTGAGATTGAAGCTAGAACCTCATTTCAAAATTAGCGCCTTCATACCAGATGGCACAATATTACGGACGATATTCTGGTGTTCTCATTGCGGCAAACTGTACAAGACTATGGTCGCGGAGGTTCATTTCCCGTCGCCACTTGTCGAGGTGGAAAAGGAGGTGCTTACAGAGGAAAATAGAAAAGGATCAGAGAGAGGGGTGGATGAGGGGTCGGTACCCTTCGAGAGATCTGAGCCATCTTGAGGAACGGATGAAGAGAAAACTCCCACGGGATTCAGATATGAAGAACGAGGAATGTCATCGGTGAGAGTCGACTCGTTCTGCGGTGATTGATTGTCGGTCAGAGGGATACAGAAGTAACATATAAGTGAATGATGGCATATAATGTAACTCACCAGTCCCTCTTACCTTTGCCTAGTGGAGGAGGACCGATTTCACCTCTGTGATGGATGATCGTTACCGGACGACTGAGTTTCGGCTATAAGGACCGATATCATCATCTAATGTGTCAGCCAAATTAGCCGCAGTAAGTGGACCGGAATACAGTACCCTTCCATAAGAGCACCTCACCTGACAGCAGGTCACTGAAAGGGGTCAAGGGGTTCGTAAGAGTGATAGAGATTACGGATAACTTGCTGCATGTCAAAGAATCCCTCGGACTGAACTTGACGACGCTACATTTCCTGCAAGGTCCGCCCGGTAAGGTAGCAGTGTCGAATCTGTGTGATCGATCATCAGGGCGACGAGCCGTACGTGAATAGAAGTTTTTGAGCCGGTGAGAAGCAGCGGCTTTGTGTTGTACCTCGATATGGGTTCGAAAAAGGAAGATTTTTGGTCAAATGAGACGATTCGCATGCACATAGCCGATGATTTGTGGTTGGTTTTGTAATGTTCAAGCTAGGCTCGATTCAATCATTTCATTCATCAGCATTGACAATATACAAAGAACGAAAACTTAATTTCAGTTTAAATTAGCTTCATAGTTCGATCTCACAAAGATCAATCATGTGTTGCGGGACTCCCGTCGAACTCCATCATCCCGATACCATGTCACATCATTTGATGAACCCGAATACGTCCATTCCCGTAGAAACAGAAGTGAATCAGGCCGTTCCGGTGAATCAGTTGGGATGGAATCATGTGTGTTGTGGAACGAGTAAGGGGTATAACAGGGATTGTGAGTGTTCATCTCGTTCAAATTCTTCACATCCTCCCTCACACTCGAAAGTTGAGAAGTGTGAGGCATAGGGAAAAATGACAAGCTGACATCGAGGGCCGCACAAAACTTGGGTGCACGCCGAGACCGGATGGATCTACTGCATTTATTGTTCTTGTTCCAAGCCAGGAGAGTAGATGTTTATTTCCTTCGTCATGTCAGTGGCGTCAGATCGAGTCAGCCATGTGTGTCAGGGGGTTGCAAAGGAGTAGATGGTCATGGTATTCGGTGACATGATATGCATCAGATGTGTTTGTGCAGAGATAGACTGTAGGGTCAGCGTTCTGACACACTAGCCCGACAAGCTGAGGCAGATCTTCCATGGCGAGATACGGAAATCGATGTGAGGATTCAAACCAGCTGTAACTAGATGAGGAAGAGTACGAAAAGGGAAGAAAAGCCCGTCATTTGGTGGTGCATGAAGTCATTTGCGCACGTTGTGTCCGATCTAACAAAGAGCAAGCTCGATGTGAGAAAGGGGATAGCGACTTCGTTATAATCATAGGGCGGGGATGCAGAAGATACTGTAGGGAGGAGTGTGAGGGAAACACGTTGAGACTGCGTCACTGACCTCTAAAGTAACGATGCCGTCATTCTCTTTCATTGACTGACTCATGAAAGGAACATTACAAGCTAATTGATCAGCTCCACCCGGATACGTCTATGGGTTATCAAGTATAACGACTATGGGATGAAGACAATACGAACACCAAGTCAAAGTATACAAGGGAGGCGATGGAAGGGAGAGGCAGGCGGTGGAAATTGCCAACCATGACGTGTCGTTTCGACCTCTGACAGATTGATAAGGAATATCCTACGTCATGACCCCCAAACTGTTCTTTCGTCTTTGGTTGATATAACATTCCTCTATCGTATCATCATCATATTCCCCAACCTCTTCTCTCTTCTCTTCTTCACTACATCGCACTAGCCTACAGGACAACAATCATTCCACTCGACATGCCTGACAAAGCTGCTCGTACCGTCATCTACAAACCTGACCCTCATGGGCCGGAATATCTCGTCTTCGTTGATGACGTTGTCGAGGTGGGTCCCTTTGTCGTCAACCTACTATGTCAACTCACTACTATCTCTCACACAACCAGTGCGCTGACCATCAGTATGAACGATGGAAAGCTGGTGATAGATCCATCGCTTTGGCTCTAATCATCGGTAAATTCGCGATCGTGAGGTCTCCCTTACTGCTGCCACGTCCTCCCCACTCTTCACTCCGTCCCCATTCACTCTTCCCTTCTTTGTCCTCCGGTACCTCTCTCTGCCTGTCGTCTTGTCACTTTACCCGTATGCTCAAACTTAAACAGTCTATCCCGTCCTACCTTCGGATGGCAATCGCCCTTGCAGTCGAGCACTGATCACATGTAGTGATGATTTCTGACCATCAGTATAGCGCCCTCAAAGGCCACACCGGTCCTCTGAACGAAGTATCGCGTCAGGAAATCGAAAATGTCTTCTTTGGCGGTGAAAATAACGTCAAGGATAAATCCGTCGAGTGAGTGATTCGCTCGCATGTTGACAAGAGATCTGCTAATATTACCCTTATTTCAATTTTCATTCCACTCATTCGCTCTTGATCACTCTGTGCTTCCTTCGTCCATTCTCCCTGAATCCCTTGCCATTTTGATTCATCTCTTTCTTGACCACTCGTCGGACACTATCATCATCCTAATGTACAAACAAACCGCCTTCACCTCACACCGAATACCCTGCACTGCGATTCTCACCCATAGAGCTGCGATTGTCATCATCCTCGAGAACGGAAAGCTCCACACTGGCGATCTCTCTCACAGCCAGAAAGAAACCTTCAACGCTTCCAGGGGCGCAGGAGAGGTTCGTGGCATCGGAGCGGGTCTTGGCTCCCACCGATGAGGTCTTATCACCATTACTTACTTCACCGATGACATCCAGCCGGCGAGAGGTTGGATGGGGAAGAAGAACGTAGTCAAGGAAGAATCAAGTAAAATGACAAATTATGCAAATGCGAATGTGTGCATATCAGTACTCGTGTCCTACTCGTGACCTTGATGAGCTCTGTGCAAGGGGTCCAGTCCGTTCCTATACATACAACAATCCCATCCCGATCGCTCCCTTCGAGAGCTCATGGTGAACATCACCAGGGTAGTTCGAGAGGTTCAGTTTGAGAGGCCGCTTTCTTGCCTAGTACTTCCTCGGCGTTTCCAATTCCCCTTCCGCCCACTGATCATCAGTTTCTGTCTTCAATCATCGATGGGACACAGGATCAAGTCTCTCCCTCGTGTGGAGAGGACACAAAACAGTGCGTGGAGAGAAAGGGGTCAAGTGCCTCTTGCGCAGGAGAGTGAGGCAGAAATCAGGAGAGGTGGTGATGGGAGCAATGGAGAGGTGAACGCAAACAACAAGAAAACCCACTCGGTGCCCATAATTTACCAGTCATGTCCATGTTGAGTTTCTCCACAAAGGCTGCAAATGGCTCACAGGCTTCCTCAGGAGTGACCGCTGAGCGTCAATACGTAGTTACATTTTATGCCCCCGTTTAAACAGATTGAGATTATCACTTGTCATAGGGATGATGATGAGACAGTACTACTGAGAGTCTCTAATGTCGGTTCAGGGGGACAGACAGGATGGAGAAGTAGTAAGTAGAAGAAACGGGATCAAGATGGAAGGAGGTGCAGTGAATGGGGCAATTCGAAGCCGGGTAAGTGTGAGGGGGATAGCAACGTACCACCCATCTTCTCGTAGAATTGCTCCATACCGGCGTCCTTGGTCATTTCCGTTTTGAGAAAGCCGGGCTGTCCATTAGTTTTCGACAATCATTTCCGGTCTGAATGATCCTTGTGTTTTATGTCATATCCCATCTCGTGACACCGAAAGCCCGACCGGAAGGGAAGAAAACAATGAAACATAGAGTGATGGTTCATAGAGGTTGCTTTAGAGATTCTTCCATGAGTAACGAGGAAGAGACGATTCTTTTTGTGTGTGGTAGGGGGAAAAGACGCAAGGAGCGTACTTACGTGAATCATAGCTACCGGCACACCTCTATCTTTCAAATCAAAACTGAGTAATTTGCCAACCATATTCCCAGCGGCTTTAGAGCCGTGATGACCGTACATCCCTCCGCCTTCACCTTGAGTGCGCAGTGTTACCGAGCCGGCTTCAGAAGTGAGTAGTAGGATCTTGGCGTTGGGCGCTAGGGATGATGAGGTGACCCTGCGAGTCAGTAATGGTCAATCGCTTATTGTCCCACAAATGCTAGATCACCAGTCGGTACCCCAGCACACACATTTTATGTTGTCCCATCGTGATAAAACGCCCAAGTGGACGGAGGTAAAGGAGGCCTGGTCAAACGAAAGAACACGAAATGACTTACAGACTTTCGACTATCAGAACAGGAGCTATAGAGCAGATTTTATACATGGAGACTTCATCTTCAAAATTCGATTTCCCAAATTCCTCTTTGTCAGTCTTAACTCATCTCATCTCCCCACGAACCATTCGAAAAGAGTGAAGCTCACCTCGGTTTTAAGTAAGCCAGCAACGATCACAACAATCTCCACCGTCTCTCCTTTCAATCCATCGACAATTCCCTTTCCCACATCAGATTGAGAACAATCGATCCCTTCTACCACCTGGATACGACCTTTAAAGTCTTGATCAGGTTTGAGGGGCGAACGGACGGTCGCGAAGACACGGGATTGGAGAGAGACGTAGTGTTCAGCTAAGGCTCTTCCAAGACCTCGTGAAGCCCCGACGATTAGTACAGAGGCTGGAGACATTGCGGTGAAGCACTGATCGTAGACTATGAAGGTGAAGGGATGGTACTGTATGCAGGGAGAGCATCAAGTCAAGATGGAGGAAGGGGTGACGTCTGTGGGGCTCCGGTGCGATCGTCAATGTGGCAGCGTGGCAGCGTGGCACTGCGCATTGGATGATGGCAGCATCACAGGGACTAGGTTATTGACTCGGGAGGCGATAGGAGCGGGCGTCCGGTTCGGAAAATTCAAAGTTTAAGGGAATACCCAAGGCAGAGGTGAGAACGGCGGAGGGTATAACGGCAGAGGGGATTGCTTAGCAATAATGGATGTAAAAAGACAAATATGAAGACTGAACAACAAGCGCTCCACTTCCATTCCGTCCACAAACCTGTTAACATGTGGAAGAAAGACTTACCTGCTTCTCCATACACTTTTCATGTACTTCGTACCTCCGCAATGTTGTCCAAAGATGAGCCTATCGAGCCAATTGAGTGGATGAGATCAAGATCTGTAGAGTCAGAAGAGCCTATTGAACCAATTGAGTGGGAGATCACGGAACCCATGCCCATCACAGAACCCATCGAGTTCAAAGAATCCATTGAAGAGCCTATATGTCACGGCTGTCGAACAACTATCTTCTAGTGGACCGACGGCCGACGAACCTAGGCTAACTTGACGCTTCTAAGTCGATGTCTCACCCAACCAGGAGGGCGCAGACGTCGAAAGGAGTGTAACTATGGCGTACTTCGGCGTAGTTACTCTAACTGGGGCTTTGTTCTACTGATGGCGATGTATCCCGATTGTATATAGCTATCTCTGTCTGTCTTTTACTACTGACAACAATCAAGGATCGCTGAAGAACTTCAGCGATCTTCTCAGCTAATATTATCTATCCCTCCTAGACGTTCATCCAACCCTCTCATGCTTTGACGTACTTCAACACATGTCAAGGATACTGCCCACCCTGGGACAGAGGACAAAGGACAAGGGGACAAGGACTAGGAGTGACAAGGAATATACTTAAGATAACAAGACTGAGTCCAACAAGGAATGGGACTGTGACCCAAGGAATGTCTCTGGCTTGTCTGACAAGACTACAGGGAACTGGAATGGACTGGACTGGACTGGACTGGAATGGATTGGACTCCAAAAGGGTGGCAATGGAAATGACTTTTGATCAAGAACTAAAGAAGACTACAAAGTACAAGATAGGGTTTATATAGACAAATCAGCCTTTTCCAAGAGGCTCGTGCAGACCTGCGGAATACGAGCGCTCTGAACCGTCCTGCACTGTCCTGCATGCATTGCCCTGCATCCCACCGATAACGACTGATATCCTACGATGCCATATCTGTGTTTACCTACGTCCTACTATGACATCCTATGGGATGCGCCGGAAGTCGCTTGACTTTGTCGAAGGTGATCGATGAGGAACTATGAAGAACTATGCAGAACATAGAAGTGCTGCGAGAACAAGAGACTGAGAGATTATGCCTTAGCAGGCATTAGAACAGAGGAACTAGAGACAAGAGAATTACTGGGGACTTATGCCTTGCAGGCATGGGAGCTAAGCACCGACATGCTAGAATGATACTTGGAGTTTATGCCTGATAGGCATGAGAGCAGAGGTGAAATATTAAAACACGAAAGTGGAGGTTGAACTTGTTTTGCGCAACAAGGAACACGTGATGGTGTGATTCATGACAGGAGCTCCCCCTCTAAGGGCGAAGTCCTCTGAGCCGGGATGACCTACGCTGAGGTCTTTTCAAAATTGTGGAAGTGTCTTGTTGTGTCGGTTGTTTAATACTAGAGCTTGACTTTGTTGACCTCATGGATGGGAAGTGGTGTTGAGGATCTTGGAGATGTTGACGACGGAATGCCCTGAAGGCAGTAGTGTTGTACAGCTCTTCCCAAGGTTCCCATGAGTCATGAGCACTGGAGTAGTCTTTCCAATGTACTAAATAATCATATCCCCCATCATTACTGATGCGAGAATCCAGGATTCTATCAATGATGTATTCTTGTTCTCCTTCAACTTCAATCCTAGGTGGTGGATCTTGAGGTTGATTTGGGAGTCCTGAGCGCACTGGCTCTAAGAGGTTGACGTGGAAGACAGGGTGAATGTTCATACTAGGAGGGAGGTCGAGTTTAAAAGCCAAAGGTGAAGGTGTGGCTTCAATAATCTTGAATGGCCCAAGCATGCGTTGATCAAGCTTGATTGATGGCCTTGAGGTTTTGATATTTTTTCGATTAAGGAATACCATATCTCCAACCTTGAAGATAGGTTTACCTTCTTGAGTGATTTCTTTGATCTTACGATCATAGAACTTGGAATGAGATAACTGTGCCTTTTTGATATTGTTGACAAGTTCCTTGTGAAGATTACGGAGTTTGTTGATGTGATCTGAGGCTGCAGGGACAGAGGTACTAGGAAGTGGTGGTGGACTAGAAGGATCAAGGGGATGGTAACCATAGGTTGCCTCAAAGGGAGAATGTTTTGTGGTTGCGTGAACTGAGTTGTTGTAACTGAATTCCGCCAGATCTAGAAGTGATGACCAGTTTGCTTGGTCATAATCACAGAATGTCCTGAGATAATTTTCTAAGACTTGATTGACACGTTCAGTCTGACCATCTGACTGGGGATGGAAAGCTGTTGAGAAGTTCGGTTTGATGCCTAGTCCATTGACAAAGGCTCGCCAGAAATGAGAGTCAAAGATCTGTCCACGATCTGAGACTATATCTTGAGGTATACCATGAAGTCGCATGATTTGTTGTCGGAACATCACAGCTAATTGAGGAGCGTCAAAGCCATCTTCTTTATATGGAATAAAGTGGGCTTGCTTGGTAAGACGATCAACAAAAACCATGATTGAATCGAAGTTACTGGATAGAGGGAGTTTGACTATGGCATCCATCCTAATAGATTGCCAAGGATGAGAAGGGACAGGAAGTGGTTGCAAGGGTCCATAGGGCTTATGTCGTGGGATTTTATTTCGTGCACAAGTGTGACACCCATTAACATAGGTGTTGACAAATTGTCGCAAGCCAGGGAAGTAATAATGACGTGTCAGGAGATCATGTGTCTTTGCCTGACCAAGGTGACCAGAGGTACTAGAGTTGTGGACCTGTTGGAGAAGGTCTGTCTTGAGTTCAAAGTTGTCTGGGACATAGATTCTTTCTTTGAATCATATGATGTTGTTGGAGTAGCTGAAACCTTCAAGCTTTGGTTGAAGTTCAGGAGGACAAGGAGTACTGGGATTGCGTAGATAAGGCATGAGCTCTTGAAGGGTATTATCCTCAGGCTGTAGTTGCTTTATCCTTGCCAAGATGTCGGAGTGAAGTGGAGAAGTGGGGTCAAGAGAGGGTTGTTGAAGGGCACCTAGAATGAATTGACCAGGTTTGAAAAGTGTGCGTGGAGGTGCCTCAGCAGCTCTACTCCCCCCCTGAAGGTCTTGACGTCTCGTCAAGGCATCTGGTTTTCCCATGGCAGTTCCGGGTCTATGAATGACTTTATAATCATAGTTTGCCATGAGTTCTGCCCATCTAGCTTGACGTCTATTAAGTACTTTGGTTGTTGCAAAGTATTCTAAATTCTTGTGATCCGTATAAACTGTGATTTCTTGAGCTCCTTCAAGGTATGGTCGCCATTGTTTGAATGCTTCTACGATAGCAAGCATTTCCTTGTCGTAAATTTCATAGTTGAGTTCAGCTGGTTGAAGTTTTCTTGAGTAATACGCCACAGGGTGAAGTTGATTTTTGTCGTCTGGATGGGAGAGGATACCAGCAGTTGCAAAGTCAGAAGCATCTGTCTCTATTACAATTGGCTTGGTGGGCTGGAAATGGTGGAGAATGGGAGCAGTCGTAAATGATTTCTTGAGAGAGTTGAATGATTCTTCCTCAGAGTCACCCCATTCAAACGTAACATCCTTGCGGAGCAGTCTGGTTAATGGTGCAGTGACTTTGGAGTAAGACTTGATGAATCGCCTGTAGAAGTTGGCGAAGCCAAGGAAGACTTGAATGTCGTGAACAGAGTGAGGTGTTGGCCAGTCGAGTACTGCGGAGACCTTTTTGGGATCCATACTGATACCTTTGTCTGAGACAATGTATCCTAGAAAGTCGACTTGATGTTGAAAGAAGGTACACTTCTCTGCTTTGGCCCAAAGATTATTTTTCTTAAGTCGCTCAAGCACCTGCTTGACGTGACTGATATGATCCTCTCTTGTTTTGCTGAAGATGAGGATGTCGTCCAAATAGACAATAACAAAGATGTCGAGATAATCCCTCAGCACATCATTGATGAGGTACTGAAAGGATGCTGGAGCATTGGTGAGCCCAAAGGGCATTACAAGATATTCAAAGAGACCATAGCGGGTCCTAAAAGCTGTTTTCCACTCATCACCATCCTTGATGCGGATGAGGTTATAAGCTGCACGGAGATCAATTTTTGTAAACCATGATGCCTCCTTAAGTCGGTCAAGGGATTCTTGAATAAGGGGCAGGGGATATCGATTTTTACGAGTGATTTTGTTGAGTCCTCTGTAATCTACACAGAGTCGGAGGGTACCATCAGGCTTCTTCACAAAGAGTATTGGAGCGCCTGCTGGACTAGAACTGGGTCGGATAAATCCTTTCTTGAGATTGTCCTTAAGATATTCATCCAAAGCTTTAAGCTCAACTTCAGAGAGCGAGTAGATGGGTCCAAAAGGTGGTCGCGAGTCACCCTCAATAGGAATGGAATGATCATACTGGCTATGTTCTGGGAGCTGGTCGGAGTTGGATTTCTTGAAGACTTCTAGAAAGTCATGGTACTCGGGAGGTATACTCTTGAATAGAGTATCCATATCAGGATCAGGATCATCATCGTCCTCAGCCGGAAGAGGATCAATGAGCGAAGTGACTTGGGAGACGGAGGTGATGCCATAGACACAAGCTTTCTTTAGAACATTGCGAAAGGCTGCTGCACTCACAAGGGTGACCTTGGGAGGAGCCGGAGTGTGGACGGGGACTGGAGAATGGAGTGACTTTAGTCGATTATGTTGTTGCTGGAGAGACCGCGGAGCACCATGCTGTCGTTCGATCTTGCTGGGAGGAATCCTCTCAGAGGCACACTGGCCATCTTGAGTGGTCAAAGGGGAACCTGAGGCACACTGGCGCTCTAAGTTACTAGACTGGAGTGGGGTACCAAAATCTTTTCCCATCAACTTGTCAGGTTGACTGCACTGCATCCTACAGTACAGGGAAGAGAAAACAATGGTCTGACGGGACCAATTGATAACAGGATTGTGTCGGGAGAGCCATGGAAGGCCAAGAATGACTGGATAGTCGCCAAGGGAAGTAATGTCAAGGGAGATCGTCTCCTCATGACGAGTCGAAGTGGTTTGAACAGAGAGGTTGATGGGGCCAGAGTGGTGTGTAATAGCACCAGAAGATATTTTTCTCCCATCAATAACATGAAGGTCCATAGGTTCATCCTTCTGGACTGCCGGGATAATAGTTTTGTCGAGGAAGGTCTTGTTCAGAAAGCTGTTGGTAGCTCCTGAATCAAGCATAGCATAAGTGTGGTAGTGTTTGTTACCAAAGGAGAGTGTGATTGGAATACACAAATGCTCCTGAGGGTTGTCCGGATTAATTGATAGTGTTGAAGCCGTTCCCGTTTGACGTTGAATATACCGTGATAGTTGCCCATGATTAGGCCCCAGAGCAGGGGACTTGATTAGGCCTGGGGCTGGGAGTTTTTTGCTTCCTGAGGTGCTGTGACAGCATTGACCATTGCAGGAGACTGTTGCTTGTTGGGTCTTGCCTTGCATTGATTGGCAGTATGACCGGGCTTTCCACAGTATAGGCAAAGCTTGTTCTTGAATCGATGCTCACGCTCTTGAGATGTGAGAGGAGCAAAACGAGGTCGGACAGCATCCACTTCCATAGGGACAGAAGTGAATGTGTTGGAAGGGGTAGACAAAGTACGAGTGGATTGGGCAGTGAAGGATCGAGGATTGTTGAAAGAGGAGTTGTTGTTACGTGGAGGGGTAGACCGGATAGTGTTGACTGGAGTGACACCTCTCTTGCGGTTGAAGAGGAGGTTGTCCCAAATGATAGACTTGTTGATAAGGTCCTTGAGAGTCTTGAAGTCATTTGGTGTAAGAATCTTATCCTTCACATCTTCCTTCAATCCATCAAAATAGGCATGGCGGAGTGCCTCATGATTCCAATGAAGAAAGGCCGCATGCTTTTCAAAGAGTGCCGCATACTCTGATGCTGACTTGTTTTGCTTGAGTGTCTTGAGTTTGTGACGTGATGTCTCAATGATGTCAGAATCACCAAATGTCTTTTCAAATTCCTTTTTGAAAGCTTCCCAGTTATCAACCCATTCAGGACGAGTTTCAGTATGGTTCATAGCATGGGGCATGTACCACTGATAAGCTTCATCCTTGAGGAGATTTGAGGTGAAGGCAATCTTGGATTGATCAAGAGCATAGGTGCGGGGTTGGGTATTGAAGACTGTGTCACACTTCAAAAGAAATACCAGAGCTTCATCTTTACGGCCACTGAAGGGCGGTGGTGAAGTTATCTTTGGTTCCTTTGTGAAGGTGGGAGTGGAGTGAGAGTGAGAGTGAACCTGTGCATTAAGTAGTTCTTGTTCAAGATGGATGATGCGTGCTTGCATCTCCTGGAGGATATCTTCAGCAGAAGGGATGGCTTGGGGTTGGATGTCAGGGGTAATGGGGATGGGGTCAGACATATTGAATTACTCAGCTGAAGTGTTTATAAATTCCCCAAAGTATCACTGAAGACCAAATATAATTCTTAATATCCCTTTCAAACTAAAGTCAAAGATGTGTTATTTGTTTCCTAGAAGTTGAAGTTGTTACACAATGTATCTTCCTGAAGATCAAAGTGTTCTTGAGTATTGTTGAAGTTGATGATTATTGTTGAAATTGAGATTAATTATTGAAGTTGATAATTATTTCTTGAAGTTGATAAACAAGGGTATAAACTAGACCTAAAGAGTAGTAGACAAGCAAGGACAAAGAGGTGAGTTCTTGATACTGTCAAGGATACTGCCCACCCTGGGACAGAGGACAAAGGACAAGGGGACAAGGACTAGGAGTGACAAGGAATATACTTAAGATAACAAGACTGAGTCCAACAAGGAATGGGACTGTGACCCAAGGAATGTCTCTGGCTTGTCTGACAAGACTACAGGGAACTGGAATGGACTGGACTGGACTGGACTGGAATGGATTGGACTCCAAAAGGGTGGCAATGGAAATGACTTTTGATCAAGAACTAAAGAAGACTACAAAGTACAAGATAGGGTTTATATAGACAAATCAGCCTTTTCCAAGAGGCTCGTGCAGACCTGCGGAATACGAGCGCTCTGAACCGTCCTGCACTGTCCTGCATGCATTGCCCTGCATCCCACCGATAACGACTGATATCCTACGATGCCATATCTGTGTTTACCTACGTCCTACTATGACATCCTATGGGATGCGCCGGAAGTCGCTTGACTTTGTCGAAGGTGGTCGATGAGGAACTATGAAGAACTATGCAGAACATAGAAGTGCTGCGAGAACAAGAGACTGAGAGATTATGCCTTAGCAGGCATTAGAACAGAGGAACTAGAGACAAGAGAATTACTGGGGACTTATGCCTTGCAGGCATGGGAGCTAAGCACCGACATGCTAGAATGATACTTGGAGTTTATGCCTGATAGGCATGAGAGCAGAGGTGAAATATTAAAACATGAAAGTGGAGGTTGAACTTGTTTTGCGCAACAAGGAACACGTGATGGTGTGATTCATGACAACAGACTTCGTCCAACTTCCCGAGCCCCGGCCATCTCTTTCCTCCTTCGACTAACTCCGCCTAACATCGCCGCACTTCTGCTCCCATTGTCCCTACCTAGCCTAACTTCGTCTAACTTCGCCGTACTTGGTCTCAGATGTCCTGAGTTACGTGTAGAGTAAAGAGGTTAAGTCGTGATGGGGGTTTTGATGGTCAAAGGAGGGTCATTGTTGGTGGAATAATCGAGGTGTCACGACGTAGTTCGTGACACTATAGAGCCAATTGAGTCTGAGATCACGGAACCCATGCCCATCGAGTCCACAGAACCCATCGCCATCGAGTCTGCACCTACCGAGAGTGTATTCAGCAAGACTATATCCACAACGTTCATTGTGTCCCACACTCCTAGAGTCAAGGTCTTTGGAACTGAACTCGGAGTTGAGACATCCAACACTTCCGATCATTTCAATCGCACACAACTTCTCGAGTCAAGGTCTCTGGAACTGAACTCAAAGTTCAAACGGCTGAGGGGAAGGGACAGGGGACAGATGAACATGAAAATTCCACTCACCACAAAACTGAGCGGATTTCCAATGCAGAAAAGGACTATAGGTTAGCAGGAAGGAGCAAAACAGAAAGATGGGCAAGGAAGGTTAGAAACATTGGTGAGTTTAGTCGATATGAATTTAAGTGTTGAGATGCGAAAAGTCATGAGAGGGGACTCAAGTGAAGTGAATTTATCTGACTTACAGAGATGATTCCGCTGTCAGCCCCACCTGATGTGTCACTTTATGGTCTCTTTCACATCAAACAAAACCTTGGGCAAGCAGAAGTGTGAAGGTGGATGGAAAGAGATGGGACTCAACTCATGGAAAAATATCAACTGCAAGTTCCTACCCAATCGGTTTCGTTTGCAATCTTGGCTCCAAATTCCGCCCCACTCAAGTACCTTGTCGTTCACATCCCAAATGCATTTTCCGAGAGCAGGGAGAAGAAGGTCCTGGAAGCATGGGAGACGGCAAAAGCAGTGAGTTGAATGGTTCCCTCACAGAACCACCCCCATTCTCGGACTCACAATTCATCTGTCCGTGAACACGACCCCTTTCAGATGAGAATGGTGCATTTACTGATGCATAGGCACATCCGGAACAGGACATCCATGGGAGATCAACCCGTCATGCATCTGTTGACCAAGACGAACACGGTAACGACCTAATTTATTCTCAGGTCCTACATCTCCTGGAATGGAAACGCTCTAGTAAAAAAATCATTACCACTTCCAAGACAAAACAAAAGGCCAATTATGAAGCCGAATACTATTTACTTCTGTTCTGTGCCATCATAGCAAAACATCTTGGTCCGGTCGCAAAAACTCTGCTCAAAGCATTCGACCCCGAGGCTCTTGAACCTATTACCCAGTAAGGTGGCTGTCTTATAGTTTCTGAGTCACACTGGTCATACATAGCTATCATTACAAGAGAGGTAATCTGGCTCGTCCCGAGCTACAGGAGGCCTTGGATCAGTTGAAGAGGGATGGACCGACTCTGCCAAACCCCTTCCTTCTCCAAGTTGCCACATTTTTAGCAGTGACCGAGAGAGTTGGAGAACAATTCCATTTTGAATTTGGTGATTCTAAGAAGACGTATACTCTCTTGGCTCCCATGGGTGATTGGAAGGAAGGGGGTGAGCTAGTAATTCCGTGTCTTGGCCTGCAGGTGAAACTTCCTCCCAGATCTGCTACCTTTTTCTGTCCAACCTTTCTTCCACACAAAGTTACACCTGTGTTGGGAGGTCATCGTCTTTGTCTCACCCTTTCAACTTGCTCAAACGCTTTAGAACATGTTCTGAAAGGTAAATAGATTATCCTATAGGCAATGTCATGAATTCCGTGTGTTCACTCACCTCTACTTACTCCCAGTATGGTAAACTCTGACGATGATTTTCATCCTGCTGGGCAAGTCTTCTTGTAGTCCCAAGCCCATTCCTCTCATAACTACTTTGTACTACCCTTTCAATGGGAAATCCAGGCTGAAATGTCAAACCGGAAAGGGTTTTAACCTGTGAAGCAGCAACAAATGACAGTCCCACCGCAAACTCTCTAGCCCCAAGGTCGATCTTTGCTTGATCCAGTGTCATCCCCTGTAATTTGTGAATGGTGATTGCATAGGATAATTGAAGGGCAGATTGGGTACGAGAGCAAGATGTCCCTGATGGTCCATCCCAAGTGGCTGTAACAGGAACAATGAGAAGGAGTGGGATTCCATTATCATCTTGCCAGGGTGTTGTCACGCCTGCGGGTAGACTGCGGTTGCAAAGTACTGCCTTGGGTACTGAAGGTTTTAGTCTCTGGCTCGTAGAGCTTGATGACCGCCTTAGGTACTGAGGGTACTGAGGTGTCGGGTTGAAACCAACTAGGTGACTTTCAAAGATGAAGTTCAACTTCAAGATGAAGATACATTGCTCAAGAAAGAAGGGGGGAGATGTGCTCCTTTTATACCCTTCAAAACTAAAGTAGGTGTACTAAATAAAAAGCGTGTGAGGGATTTTCTAGCCAATCACATAAATGCCTCAAAGTGAGTGCACCGCGGGAAACTAATTCCAGCCAATCACGTAAATGCCTCACTGCTGAACTGCTAAATACCATGACTCATATTTTCCTTCAATCCTTTATCACAGTTCCTAGCATGAGTCATATTTCCTTATCACTTTTCTGAGCATGAGTCAGAATTCCTTATTACTATTCATGACAGGTGTGAAACCTGTGAAGGATGGTATCGGCACCATGATCACACTTGGCATGTCAACACCAGCTTCCTCATGCTCCATAAACCCAACAGAGTTGACTATTCCCTGCGTTCCATTTACCATACCCTGGGCAGTCCACAAATTCCTTGTCAACATCACCTTTGCCCCCTTCATCAAGAGCAAAACCCGGGTCAAACCCTCCGCTTTCTCCTCAGCAGCCTTCTTCGCATCAACTCCTGTATGTCGGGCCGGTATTTTCAACACCGGTCAAGCAGATTTTACAAGCATCTCAATGTTGATCTCTGTGACTTGAATCTTCTCTGAACACAGATTTGTTGCTGAAACAAAATTCTTGGCGCTGTTGATATGAGAGACAATCCTAAAATCGAGATGAGAGAAGAGTATAGTCCTGTTTATCCACATTCCCAGAACGAAGATGAGAAAGAGTGTTCTTGAATGCCACACTCTCACTGTCTTCCTCAGCTTGTCTCATAACCTTTCCCAACTCAATACTCTACATGAATCTCATATACATTTCTAAACCTCTGTTTTGAAGAAGAGAAGATGTTGACGATCCTTCATGCCTAATTGACATGTCATGAATCAGAAATCATGACTCAGAATAAGTATGGACTCAAAGTAATAGTGACTCATAATTAATCAGGATTGATAAGGACAGTACAGACGGTAATCACAGATGGTGATTACAGATGGTATTTACAGATGGTAGTCACAGATGGTAATGACAGATGGTAGTCACCGATGGTAGTTACAGATGGTAGTCACCGATGGTAGTTACAGATGGTAGTCACCGATGGTAGTTACAGATGGTAGTTACAGATGGTAGTTACAGATGGTAACTACAGGTGGTCAAAAGTGACAAACGGTACTCACAGACGGTAACTAGTTTTAGTCTATATAAACTTGTACTTTTCAGTAGTTTCTTCAGTTATGAATCTCCTCTTTATTTGTCAAACACAGTTGGTCCAAGCCCAGCACTTCTAGTCCTCGCTATCCCTGTCCCCCTTGACGTCATCACTTCAATCTCCGTCAACTCTGTTACTCTCTCGACGAGCCAGAGACTTCATTGGGTCATAGTCCCATTCTCAGGTTACAGCCCTGTATTCTGTTGTCCTCTGTGACAAGCCCCACCCCCCGTGACATGACACATATAGTGGTGTATCCCCAACCGGTGGAAGCTGACCAAAATCACCAAAGAGGAGCACACTCAAACCACCATAAGGAAGATGTGAGGAAGCTGGAAAGATGAAGCCCAGCTGTGTATGTATCCCACCAAATGCCTTCCTGCCTATCATAACAATCAATCAAGTCAAGTCTTCAATCAAAATAATATCAAAGAAAACATAAAACACAACCTCTTCAAGAATAATAAAACAAATCTTGTCATCTGCAGCAAGTCCAAGAGCAGAATGATATGTTTGACCAGCAATATTGAAAGCTGCAACACCTGTAGGGGCAAGACGTTTGACACATGTGGAAGAGGGCCGTAGATTGTCCAAGCTCTGTGAGATTGCGTCTGTCATAACCCTCAGATATCTGTAAATACCACGTGCCTATCATCCACTCAAGTCCAGTCAACTTTACTCAAATCGTCTCAACTCGTTCCATCGTACAACATGTGGATCACCATTCAACCTTAATCACCCTCCCATCACTGAGTCAACCTGACTCCACATTGTATACATCAATCACGTCATCTATCGTCATCTGTTGTCGTCTGTTGTCATCTGTCGTCATCCCAAGCTCCGGCCGACATGTACCAGGTTCCGTGTCCTCGGTTCCGCTCAGACCGGGCGAACTGATAAGCGAGGGTACCTCGGGAGCAATATTAGCCGGATGGCCGGTCGGCATCTATTTCTGTATATGAACCCATCCCAATCAACAAACAACAGAATCATCAATGATCGATAATTAGCCATCAATTCCTTAATTACTAATTAGTGCCTTAATTAGCCATCAATTACGAGTACCTCAATTAGTGATCAATCACGGGTACCTCAATTAGTGATCAATCACGGGTACCTTAATTAGCAATCAATCACAGGTACCTTAATTAGTGATCACGCCACTGACGTCATAGGAGAGTACATACGTCCATGAACGGTAGTATGCCTCCCTCAGTTACCAAATAACTGGTTCGCTGGATCAATCACCGGATCAATCACAGGATCAATCTGTCACAAACATTGATTCTTCTTCTCTACTGACCGACGGTCGACAAACTTTGGCTAACTACGTTGTTGTGGGGTGTTGATGTCTCACTGAGACAGGGTACTTGTCGGGGAACTACAGCTCACTTGGCTGTAGTGGTTCGTTGAGTGGTAAACAATATGATACTCGTTGATGTACTGAGGCTAACTTCGCAGTGGTGCGTCAAACTACCGAGTGGTAGCTCTCCAAAACTCAAAGGTGGTAGCTACTGAATATACCTCTCGCTACTGACAACAATCAAGGATCGCTGAAGAACTTCAGCAATCTGTAAACTATGTATACTTCTCCTCTCTTCTCATAGAACATCCCCCAACTCATGCACAGCCTCACGCTTTGTCCTCTTCACTCAACTTCGCTGAACCTTGCCATGACCCCAATGTCCTAACTTCGCCGTACTTTGTCTGACTTCCTCCACCCTACTCTGTATCCTTCTCCTTACTTCACCGTAGTTCTCCGCCAGGCGGGGTTGTTGTGACTAATAATTCCTAGGTTCTTGTAACTTCGTCGTAGTTGGTCTTGGTGGTTCGGAATATGGTGGTTGCTGATGGATAGCAGTTCGGTTGTAATGCATACGCCTAAAGGGTGACGTGCACTAAGCTCTTGTGCTAAAAGATCCAATGCTCAGCTCATAGTATGAGCTGAGACCCTTTATAAACTGCTTGTGCTGCGACCGAGATTCGAGATTTATGACATCGGTGATGATGAAAGGCAGTTCAGTGATGGTGAAAGGAGGGCCGGTGATGGTAGTTGTCAGGGATGTTACAACATGGTTCATGACACAATCACGGGGTCAACCACCGGGTCGACCACAGGATCAACCGGTCAACCGGTTGTCAGGATAGCCTTGTGAAAACATGTGTTTGAATATAGAAAACACGCTACTGATCAATACACACCCGCTACTGATTGGAAAGTGTATGCCACTGATGAAGAGTACACATTAGTGATGAGGAGTACGCACTAATGGTCAGATGTTTCCTCTCTTTCAGCAGTGCGAACGACTCACCTGAGAGAAACTGAAGGAAAACCACTCTACTAAGCATATTTGGCCTCCATTCAAACCTCTCGAACCTCTACCGAACCTGCAGGACTGAACCAGGTATTTTTGAGTCAAAATCTGCCTCATGTGGGCGCCTAAGAGACACCCTCTGAACCCCCTGAAAGATCAGAGCTCATCCAGGTAGCATAGGATAGTTTCAGGTATCAAAGGATCACATTTCATGGATGCTTTATTCATGTTTCTTTTCATGAATTCAACCTTTGATGAAGAGATCTCTTTTGGGGGCTTCCGGGATGATTGAGAGCCTTCTGTAAGATCATTTAAATTGCTGTTTTTGATACAGGGTTTCCCCCCAGGAAGTAGGAGAGGAGAGGAAGGAGTTTGAGGCTCAGTTTGGGGTGTTTTGTCTATATATAGTGGTTCTAGCTCTCTGTTTGTTTCTCTGTCTCTCTGATCAATTGTCATCTTTGATTTCAACTTGCTACTCTATCTTACTGTTGCCTTCAAGACTGTTTGAGACCCACCATTGCGGCTTCATCATCATCAGTCGTATATTCGTGACAGTCACACTAGCATAGGTGTGACATCAGGGCGCACCAAAGGTGTCTCAGAGCAATCCATGTGAATCACCTGGTTACAGGATTCAGGATCCTCGGCAAGGATCCTTCAGACAGGGGGGGAAACTTGTTACGGGGTAACAACAAATCGAGAGAACTCCATCAAGTTTGACAGATTAGGATGGAGGAAAGCAGGAGTTGGAGGCAGTGCTGCATTAGGTAGGGACGGGTTTTCCCTTTTGGAGATTTCCCCACTGGGTTTGCTCAAAAGCAGTTTTTCACCTGTCCGAGTATGTACTTAGACGCTTGCAGTAGGACGAGAGGGAGACAAGGATACCTGTAGACAGTATATAGTACAATCAGCAAAGTACCAACTTTGCTGATTCTGCAATATCATTCTTTGGCTACATTGATTGCAGAGGAGACACAATTCATTAGCACCCGAGACACCTAGACTTCTACGAGACTTCCATCGAGCTCGACCTAACCTGCGGCCTAGTCATCGTGTCTCCAGTACCGTTACAGACTGCCACTCAAGGTACTTGTAAATGATCGCTAATTGAGGTACCCGTCATTGATGGCCAAGTAAGCCACTGATTAGTAATTAAGGGATTGAAAGCTAATTGTTGATCATTGATGATTCTATTGTCTGTTGATTGGGCCGGGTTCATTTACAGAAATAGATGCCAAGCAGCAATCCAGCTAATGTTGCTCCAAAGGTACCCGTGCTTATCAGTTCATCCGGTCTGAGCAGAACCAAGGACACAGAACCTGGTACATGTGGGCCGGAGCTTAGGAGGATGACAGATGATGACAGCTGATGACAGATGACGTGGTTGATGTGATTGATGTACACAATGTCAAGTCAGGTTGACTCAGTAATGGGAGGGCGAATAAGGTTGAATGGATGATCACTTGATGATGTACAATTGAACAAGTTGAGTAAAGTTGACTGAACTGGAGTGGATGATATACACCTGGTCTTTACAGATATTTGAGGGTTATGACAGGATGTCACCATGTAGTTTGTGACCCAAAGTTGGCTGAGGTTTGGCGACTGCCGGTCTGTAGAGAGGAGAGGAAACCATGATTGGATGGTGGCCGTCCATAACAATCAATCTTCCTTTTTTGACACAGGCCGCAAGTCTCCGGGGTGCCATCACAGCGTACCTTGGTCTTATAACACGGCCAGCAAGTTCCACCTGAGAATGGTGGGAAACCCTGCTGGGCAGCATGTGCTGAAGCCGCTGGTGCACGAGTCAGTGCAGGTCGCCAAAGACTTGCAGTACAAGGTCGAGACCTTTTTGAGCATGAACTACAGGTTGGGTGCTTGAGATCACATTGTATCTTTGCTGAGCGACATGGTCCGCAGGGGCGATCACCCATGTATGGCTTGTCCCCTGATTTCACAGCCTCTTGACGAGGTTTGTATGTCCTTTGTACACTTCCGTTGAGCGGCACTGTCCTCTGCCCAACCTGCCCCTGAGGTCGAGTTTGCCCTGTGTCCGTAGAGAAGTGACGCCGAGTATCAGCAGTGTCTGTGTGTACAGTGTACCAGGGAGCGTCTGGACTTTGGACCGGGAAGAAGTGCTCAGGCATAATCATCTGTGGCGCACTCAGGAGAACTTGAGATTTACGCTCTACACCTGAAATAGACGGATCCCACGGACCGAAAAAGTGGTTCGGTTGTGACGGTTTGGCCGCCGTTGAGATCCCTCCATACATATCCCACACATAATGTGCTTGTTGATTTTGTTGTTGCATGTTTTCCAGACCAACAGGTTGGCCGTGGGATGGAGCTGACGGGAAAGGCGGTGTCGTTCTTCTGGAGAAGTCATGTTGTTGGGTGCTAGAGTTCTGTGGTGGGGGGATGTACGATCGTCGCCTGTCCGTGTCTGAGTGAAGGGTGAGGCTAAGAGACTGTAGGGAAACACTGAGGGTCCCCGAGCCCTGTGGCGCTTGGGAGCGTTCTGACTCGTAGAACTCATTGTGGAGATAGTGCCTAGACATGTTGTCCGCCAGCAAAATGCTCGATAAGGACTGAAGGTACTGATGGTGAAGAGAAAGCAGTCAAGGCAGGGATTTTATGGCGAATCTATGAGGGACAATGAGAAGGCAAATCGTGTGGTCGGAAGGCCGTCAATGAACGAGTTGAAGCGCCGCAAACGAAGGCGGGAAGCGGTGCTATCGAGAAGGGAGTGGTGGGAGGAACTTTGAGCCTTCTCTAGGTGTTAGGAGAGCCTGCAGGATCATTTAACACTTATAGTTTAAAGCCTGCACGCATAGGCTTATGGGAGGGGAGTTTTCTCCCTTGGTGGGAAGGATCATGGATCTCGATCTTGTCTCGACGTAGTTTGAAAGGATGCGATGTATGAATCCGTGCGTGGGGAGAATCGCCACTGCGTCGAAATGCCGAGAAACGCCGCCCGCGACCCACCCCCCACACTCATTCACTCACTCACTCACTCACTCACTCACTCACTACTCGCAATCTCACCTTGGATTCGTACCCTATCTCTTCCTCTTTCTGTCGCCATGTACAATGGTATAGGTCTAGCAACAGCCCGTGGATCGTGAGTCTGCACCGTCAATTCCTTGGATGCTCCTCTTCTGGCATTCAGGGGCTCACGCTGACATGGCAGGGGTACAAACGGCTACATCTCGAGAAATAGCGCTTTTCTCAAGATTCGAGATGGGCCTGCTCCTGGTCCGGGTTTCGGTGGAGGTCAAGGGAGATATGGTGATTTTCTCGATACCATGAAAGGACCTCCAGTGCATCGTCAACCCGACGAGGGGATCTTGGAACACGAGAGAAAACGCAGAGTGGAAGTCCAGTGCGCCGAGCTGAGGGATCAGATGGAGGGCAGGGGGTGAGTTGTTTCTTCTGCGGATGGATCTTACCTTGTCACAAGTCCCAGTCGCTTTCCTCACCCATTTCATTCACTCTCAGCCAGTTCTCTCTTTGCGCTCCTTGCCACCACTACTCATCAGAGTTCATCAACGCAACCTTTTAGACAGTGCCCGGAACCTGCAACACACAGACACCGAGGCGATCCGGATTGCGGAAATCATGTCGGTCGCCTAAAACCATTGCCTCCAAAATCATGGGGGTCTGTGGGAAACGGCTGTCGGACACCTGACCGCTAGTACTTCATGGTCGGCTTTCGTCTTCTTTCGCTCTTTTGACGCGTTGCCTGACTACGGCCCTGCCGCTACTACATCAAATTCACCTTGATGTGGCGTGCTGTGAAATGTCCATGAGTATCTTTGGCTGATCCAGCAGAGCCGATGAGGACGAGATAGAGGAAGCTATTACCTCCCTACGAACTAGGCTGTCCGCGTCAGTCCAAGGCCTCGGATCCAAAGGCCGGATGACCGACTCGCATTCCATCGCGCAGGCTAAACAGATAGAAATGTCTCGGATGCAACGTGCTCTCGGCGTCTCTGCGGACCATCAAGAAGGCAAGGCTTTCCAGCGAGAGACGGAGGACGAGCGAGCGGCTCGCCTTGCCGCCAGGGAGGCTCGAGAGCAGGAGAGGATCAAAGCTGCTCTCAAGAGGGAAAGGGAGGATGAGCGTAGGAAACGTGATAGGGAAGAAAAGGAGAAATTGAGGCGTAGGGCTGAATACGAAGCGTCAGTACACGTCTCTCGAGGACGACGACAGAGCTGACTAGTCAGGAGACAACGAAAAGAAAAAGAAGGGAAAGGAAGGCCGAAAACCAATCACGACGCCCCTCCTCGATCTCCTGTGGGGAGAAAGGATACATCTATGTTACCTCCACCTCCACGTCGTGGCGGTGCGAGGAGGAGTGATGGAGAGGTTGAATCCCCTCGTGTGACCGCCGCACCCAACCGAATCAGGCCACGTCCTTCGGCATCTCCCCGTCTACGATATCAGTCGGAATCAGTGTCTCCCCCGCCTCGCCGGAGATCACCATCGGATTCTCCATCCCCTCGTGGACGACCCCCTACTAGGTCGCCTCCTCCACCCAAAGCCAGGTCTCCCCGACCGCGATCTCTACGTGGAGGATCGCCTCTGCGTCGCCCGCTGCCTGTCTCAAAATCTCCATCCCCTCCCCGCCGCCGTCGTTCTCCTTCCGGGTCTCGATCCCCACCTCCTCGCAGACCTCGGTCGCCTTCAGAGTCCCGTTCTCCTTTACGTCGTAGATCTCGTTCTCCCTCATATTCACGCTCTCCTCCACGCCGTCGTGCCCGTTCCTCGTCATATTCGCGTTCGCCCCCAAGACGTCCTTTTCGCTCCCCATCATATTCTCGCTCCCCGCCTCGTCGTCGTCCTCGATCTCCATCTGACTCACGTTCTCCTCCACGCAGACGATCCCCGTCCGACTCCCGCTCTCCACCTCCACGAAGGCGATTCGTCGGTTCCAATTCGCCCCCACCAAGGAGACGTTATTCCGATTCGTTGTCTCGCTCGCCACCGCCTAAGCGCGGTAGGGACTACTCGGAATCTCCTCCGCCAAAACGAGCTCGAGGTTCTCCCCCTCGTGGGGGTGACGTGGGAAGGGCCAAAAGTCCTGTCCGAAGGAGGTACAGTGGGAGTAGCGTCAGTAGGAGCGAGAGATCTTTGACGCCTGAACCTACTGCCGCTCGAGCCGAGTTGGGGAGGAGAAAGGGACTGCCATAGTAAAAGGTTGTAGAATGTGTGGGACTAAGTCTGGGAGTGTCGAAACTGTACATGGCGACATGCATAGCGTAACAGGTCATCCACTGATGTACATTACACAAGTGCAATTTACGATATGTCATCTGTATTGCTGATGCGCCTCTGATATCTTCCTGAAAATCCCATATGCCTACTAGACCTACACCCGACTCGCCCAGTGTGAAAAGGGCAGCGCATAGCCAGTAAACGTGTAGCATGAATAACTCAACTTTTCCTTGCCTCCACATACTCTACATACTCCTCCCAAGTGCATTTCGCCTTGACACTCTCATACACTTGCACCTGCAGACTGTTCCAAACATCATCACCGACCCTCACCTTGCCTCTCCATCCAGCTTTTTGAATAGCGCTCAGTATACATTCCTCTCTTGTCCATCCCTGGTCCAAACAGACTTCGGGGAGGTATGTAGCGGAGAGAGTTCTTCTGTGCCTGTGAGGTTTCTCATGAGTCGATTCATTCGGCGAGGTCGGATGAGGAGTGGAGTGCGAAGAGGAATTTGAAGAGGATGGATCGGGAAAGGTGATGTGGATTCCGTGGATGCCTGGTGTCCAATCGAGAGGATCGGAGATGGGAATGAATGGAGTGAGGAGGGATACACTGAGGTCAGCCATTTTGAGGCCTATATGATCTCATCCCTTCAGTCGAATTATATTGGATGACTGTATGCCGCAGAGGGAGACACCCGGGACTTGTCCAGGAGGACGGTTAGTGGAGGAAAGGGGATGGAGGAGAGGAGGGGACGAGAAAGACAAGGGAGTGACATGAGGAGAGCACGAGACTCTCAGGGAAGAATGGAACAGATGTGTGGATGCTACCGAATGGGCGGGCTCCAGGAAGAAGGAAGGGAAAACCCACCCGCAAATTAAGGATGACATTTCAGATTTCTTGATGGGTGAAAACCTGTGATCTTGTAAAGCAGCTATCAGAGCGTATTCTTTCAACCCTTTAGATAGAGGGTACGGTGAGAAAGTCCCTATACATCCTCGAAGAGAAGGTTTGTTGTCTGATCGAAGACGAGAGGTGGTGTCCCATGTGACGAAGAGAGCGCTGGGGTGAGCAATCCAGCACTCACTCTTGCGTACCTGTGTGCACACGATGACACAAGGGTAGAAGAAGGTAGGAAAGACTCACAACGACACGTCGGCATTGTCAAAAGGCGGTGGCATAGGTTGTCTCTTTCCATGATGAGCGACGAGGACGTCGAAGCAGTAGATAGCATGGAGACTGGTGCATTGAGATTCTGAATCGGTCGAGGGGGTCATGCTGTGAGCTGAGAGAGTGAACCTTGACCGAGTGTCGTGCTGACCTATCTGAGCTTTGAGTGACAAGATGAGATCAGCTACAGTAGCTTGATAGGGTGAGTGATGAAGAGAAGATGGCGCCAAGTTGTGCGACAAGGGGGAGAAGGTGAGAAGGAGGGAAGGTGGTTCTAAGCGAGGTCCACGTGATAAACACGTGACCTGCGGGTATCGCCGACCCACTCTACGCGACTCTGCGCTACGCGTCTGCTACTTACTGAATTGTATGCTAACTCCACTTTCGAAAGACCCTCATAGCCTAGTCAAAACCTCAACTGCACCACGAACATCGATACGCGGGACACCGACAGATTACATAGGATAGTCTGCACAAGAAGACTTGCCATTGAAACCCCCCCAAAATGTCAGAACAACCAGCTGCTAAACGTCACCTTCGGCCCGCCGCTCCCTTACCTACCACCGCGGAGACGTATGGGGTCAGACATGGTTTGGCTCCAGAGTTGACTTTGGCTTTGGAGAACATTGGGAGGAACAAGAGGCAAGGTGGGTGGATATACTTTCATTCCACTTTCCTCCCGTCATGACCACTTTCTCTTCCCCTATCTCCTCACCCACCGAGTTGAATGGGATCGCTATAGGATAACAGCACCGGGGGTTTGATTCAGATAGATTCCCTGTATGAAGGCGAAGAATATAGCACTAAATATCTAGTCGTTGCTCAAGGCCGTTCATTCGTACGATCACAAACCACCTCTGTACTTCCCAACCCACATCTCGCCCTCCCAGCATGGTCCGGACCAGGAGATACTCCAAAAGATATCCCAAAACCGACATGGCAATCTGAGAACGATACTCTCGAACATGCTCGTGCTGTATTACGCGAATCCGGAAGACCGAACGAGCTTCAACCCTTCTACGCAACTATTCTCGAAGACGACAAACCAGTGTCACCTTTCCAAACCGCTCCCCTGAGGCCAGAAGAGCAATTACGTCCGACGAAACGGAAAGACCTCGAGGTGGGCTTGGTGGATGCTGAACAAGGTCATCCTGGGGTCGATCTGAAGAGTGTGGAAAGAGAAGGGACAGAAGCGGAGGATATGGAGATGGGGATGCATCAAAGCACTGATAAACTGGGAGTGAGGCAAGACGATTTCCCACCAGTCTTCGTCAGTCCGAAAATCACTCAGCCGGAATTATTCGCCAAGCCGATCTTTCCCCGAGCACCAGGTCCTGGATCAGGATCAGGGTTTAGAGAAGGAGTGCCAGGTGGTACCGGTGGACCAGGCGCGCAAAGGGAGAAGAAGGGGTTGCCAAGTAGGATGATGGGAAGACAACTGGGGAAAACGGTGTCGGCGCCAGTGTTTGGGGCATGGGGAGGGATGGAGGTAGATGGAGGAGAAGTAGAGGGGGATGGGTTTGACGTTGGTGAATGGGCTAAAGGGGAGGACTTCTAGCAAGTCAAGGCTTGGAAACGAGCAGTCAAGTGGGACTGAGGGAGAAATCAGCGGAGAGTCACTGGGGGGAGATTGTTGTACAGTGGTATCGAACGGTTGGATCTGACTCGAGATGCATTGTCGAAGGGCAATGTATATCCTCGGTGTGGTGCTGTCCATTGTTCATACGTAGTAGTCTAGTCAGTAGTAGTGGTGGTGAAGTAATCCCAGATGGCAGACAAACAGGCGAGATTTCAACTTTGGTTTTCCATCATTGTCTTGGATCATTCCCTCCTTATTCACGATTGTCAGTCTAAAGTACTTACTTGTACTTACTGGACCCACTCGATAGCTTATCAGCCTCGCCTCGACCTCTTCATTCTCACCTCTACTCCCTATTCGCTGCTCTTCCCTCCGCAAGCTTAGTCCAGTCCACAAACACCCTTCCACGAAACGCACAATCAATCTTCGCGCATCATCTACCACAGCTCATATCGATCTCCTGTATGATGGTTCATATCACGTGAGGGTGAGCTACTTAGTTAGTCGGTTCAGCTGAGATCAAGTAAGTAGCTTAGGAAGGATACTAGTCACTGGCGTGAACATGCTCGCACACACGACTCTCTCACCCGCCGTGAGGATTGCGTCACAGTGTTCACCTCTTCGGATATGATGGATACATGACATGGTGGTTGTCGAGGTACGTTGTATAATCTTTGTCAGGACAGAACTCCCTCATCACCCCATCCCCATATCAGACCCTGTGTAACACCCCTACCCCGTTCATTCCTTCTCCGTCCAATCTTGCAGTTCCTCTTCGCAAAAGAGGCATTCCAGCCTTTCATAACATTTGTCATTCTCATACTTGATGAACGGCAACGGTATGTGCTCCTCTATGAATCAGCGACGCCTCCCCCACTCGTAGATCATCGAGATGTATCGGCATAATGTCGTTGTTAGATAGTGCAAACGAATGACACCTACGACCTTTGTTATATCCCGCGGCGTCACCCGGACATGGACCGGTCTCTTCTGCATTGTTCTGCGAATCTGGTTGAGTCATGTCTGACGTGTCTGCTTGGCTAATGGTGCAAGTCCGGGTTTTCCACAGCGGTATGGACGTCGACTGTATTATAAACCCATCGTATCGCAATCCAGAGAGTATCAAGAACCAGTCGTCATCTTTTCAGTCCCGTCGCGGAACGGCAGATGGCATATGTATGCCCCTCGGGTTTGGGAAATCTATTTCAACGTCATCACACTCGATTTAGACTCCGGTGAGTGGAAACAGATATGGGGTTTTCTGGTTGACGCTGATAAGATCAGAATGACGAGTCCAAGTCAGTATGACGCAGTCTACAATCCGATCTCATTCATCCCATCCAGCTCTCAAGAATCCGCCTTTCATCTTGTCCTCGGTCGAAGGAATCGTCTTTCGAAACCATCTTCGAATAGCATCACTTGTATACACAAATCGTGTGCATCAATCTCACACTAGTACTAGTCCCGGCCGATCATGTCCCGTCGTGCTCCGCAACTTCTCAACGCCCTTATCGAAGCCGACACCCTCCGTCGAGACTCCATAACTGTGACAAACGTGCACGATGGTAGGGAGAACCCTCGCAATCCATCGACCGTTCCCTTCGACAAGGCTTGATGTTCGATTTTTTGTGCTTCGCTCCTGGCGGATCAAACAGACTTTTCACACGTTCAATTCGGACCCGTTTCACCATACCCGGACACCCTCGACCGATGAATTTAGGATCCCGAAGACTCATGCGGAGGCTACCGATTGATGAACTCCATCGAGGGTGTCAAACAAGAGAGCAAACAAACGTCTCCCTACAACAATACATTTGTTGATCATATACTAAACACCGATGTTTCTTTCGTACCTCTCCTCACTCCCGCAAGGGTCATGCTTCAATTAAACGCCCTACCACACCATTTACAAATGATGAACGTATGAACTACTCCCTGACTATCGATGATATTGACGGTAACTATGGCGCATGGGGCTGCGGTCAGCGAGGATATACAACAACGACCACAGTGCACAGACTAACCTCCGCGGTTGTAACTGTGCTCGTTACCAGTGCAAGGGTCGTCTTCGCTCATGGTTTCCAGAGGCGCTCCTGTCACCCGATTGTTCGAGAACTTTTAGAACTCTAAGAAGCACTCTGTGGCGTTCAACGGAGGACGAAGGTCGAAGCAGGGTCTTGTAACTGTGGGAAAACTGCGGTTCTCAGTGGCTTAAGTATCATTCTAAGCCGAAGAAGAACGGCTATCAGAAGTAGACCATCCTATCAAGCTCCGGCGGTTCGCCCGAGTTCAGCGACGTGAGTAGAAGAAGTGACTCTCTTTAGTGAATTTGGAGGAATGTCAAGTGGGGAAGTCATAGTACTTCGGACTTGATGGAGTCGGACTGACGGCGAAGGTATCCGATAGACAGAGTAAATCGTTCGTATGATCATTGACGTCCAATCTCTTCTCCCCCAACGTGGATGACCCCTTTGATCAAAAACAAATCTAAAACTCCACCTCATCAAACACACTGACGCTTCCACGTTGTCAGCTCCACAGAGTGGTTCTAACATCAAGGTCAAGTGTCAAATCGGTCTCTACAAAGGGAGAAGGGAAAAAGCTCGATGAAATCCGGCCAAGAGATGCATGTGCAAGGCTCGGATATGAACTGAAACTATCGCTACGAACGACTACTCAATTCGACTGAAGGATAGCTACGAAACGAGAGCATCACATGAGTCTTCCGCAGTAGGCACATTCTTTCTTCTCGACCCTAGTACCGTCGGGATGGACGGTGACGGTAGCCGCAGGTGTGCAGATAGCTGAAGGTCAGCGGGGTTTTCGAGGAAGAGTGGCTGGGAGAATCGAGCGATTTCAAGGATGGGGAAGGGGCTAAAAGGCTTCGGTGGGGCGGGGGGCTCTTGATAACAAGAGCAGCTAGAGTCGGGGAAATCGCGAATGACGCGGAGGACGAGGAGAATACGAAGGGCAGGTCATTTGAAGGAAGGATGGAAAGAAGTAATGCGTGAGACATCAAATTCGATGAACGCATTCGAGGGAGGGCAAGAATGAGCAAAGCGACGGAATCCAAGCGATGGGCGGGAAGAGTTACGAGGGCAAGAAAGATCACGAAGAGGGAGAGAAAGACTAAGGAACAGAACAGCTCACCACCCTTGTTGGTCCCATAAACCGAACCGGTGCAAGCGGGTTGCACGACGGGAACGTAGGGAAGGTAACTTGGGATAGGAGCCTGAGCCGCAGTCGGCTGAACGTGGACGACGATCTTCTCGTATGCGGGGCGAGGAGAACTGGGACGGGTGTTGTTGTCGAACCTGTCTTCGAAAGTAGCAGGGGAGGTGACAGAGTGAGGGCTGTTCATCTTTAAAATGTTGTCGGTTTGGATTTCTGGGTGATTGTGGTGAGTGAGAATGTTGGAGAAAGAAATGTGAGTGTCTTACCTGATATACTTTATTCGAGGGATATGAGAAGGTTCCTTTTTCGAAATGCGGAACAGTCTGGAAGGCGATTGAAAGGGATGGTACGAGTTGAACTTCTGCCGAGTGAGAGTGAAAGAGTACGAGGGGGGCTTTTGACGACAATGCGACAGGGACGGATCTTGAGGAAGCATATCGTCGACTCTTTTCATCAAACGTCAGCCACATCTGCCCGTGTGTATCCGCGGGGTCTAGTGCGTGTACGACTTACGCATAGATTTCTCCCTCGATAATCGTTGAGGTCATACCCTCAATTCCACGTGTCCCGGCTACCTCGAATCCGAGCAAATGATCGAGGACATGGGAAGGGAGGGGAGGGGGAAAGGGGTGGCGATACTTGAGAGAATCGCGGTATGAACACGAAACCCATCTCCACGACCCCTGAACCGAGAAATCGAGCTGATACCGTCTCACAAGCCGCATAGGCGATGATCCTAGTCGAATCACAATCCGAAGTATCATTTCAGCCAGATGGGACAAGCAGAAGAGTGAAGACATGTTGATGTATACATGGCATTACATCAGACTGGTCTTACCAAATCTCAACAACACCTTCTCTCAAAACATACGTTTACAGAATTTGCACTCGATGATCTCCACCATTTGACCGTTATCGACACGATAAATCACAGATTGTAGTTGACACTGATCTAGCATTTGTCAGCCGAGATGTTTTGGTGATGAAGGGAAACAGAGAGAGTATGGAGAAGAGAATGAGTTATCTCACTCACTACCTTTGTTCTCTCCATTCGAATCGCCTTCGCACTTATCCTCCTCCTCTTCTTCGTCCTCGTCCTTATCTTCCTGAGTGGTCGTGACTTCCGTTTGTGTCGACCAATTGTCATCTATCACCTTGGCGGGATCATCGACAGATGAAAGCTGATGGGGTTGTGATATGCTGGACATGATTGGATCTTGTTCGATCGACTGATTCGTGATGAAATGATGCGAGATTGACACCCTGAAGAGAAAATTGCGCTCGAGAGAGTCAAAGCGATGAGCATTCTATATTCCTGACCCCCGTGGGTATGATCACAATCGGATAGATCATGGCGTAAGTCATCCGGACGTGAATATATCCGAAAACTTGTTGATAATCCATCAGGGTCGGTGATGTTAGTCCGGGAAATAGCTACCAGGCTTACGATTCATGATTCCTCACCGACTGATCGCTCTCGTCGAAAAAGCCACTGACATCAGGGAGCGACAAATGGCGTATAAGGCGTCATCGTAGGATCGAAGAGGTCGAAGTCACTGGCTCGATTCGGCCGCTAGAGATCCTCCGTGACCCAGTTCGACTAACGCGGTTCTCTCTAAGAGTGGGGCTTACTTGGACCCCTTGATGAAGGAGACGGATGGTCGCGGACCACGTGAACAAATACATCGCTCAAATGCAAAACCATGTGTGATGGGTCGGATACAATAGCATTGGCTAAGCGACAATCAGGCTGCCGAGACGGACTCTCTGTCACCTCGTGGACTGAATGAACTTTGAGCGAGATAGATCGACGTCGTCAATAGCTAGAGTGAAGAAGCAGTAAGTTGATGGTTGATAAACTCATCAGATCGTCATAACGACTGGAATCATTCGTGCATGTTCCTCAACTCGGGGTCGTACAACATACAAGTCATGAGGAAGGCTTTTCTTTTCCACAGAATTTACACGCTTGGACTATAAATGGAGCTCCTCTCGAATTCTGGAGCTGCACGGGCACGTATTCGCAGGCCTCTGATTGTCAGCGTTCCTTAGACGTGATGTATGGATCATGATGGTTTTGAAGCAAGGGATCCGGGGGAAGGTATCTAGATATCCAAACTACACTCACCGCCTTTGTTTTTACCATCTGAGTTCCCCTCGCACGCCATTCTGATGATCTGTCGGAGGAAGAGTGTGTGATTGGAAGATGAATCTTCGGTGTTGTTTGTGAGGAGGTTTGCAGGTTGTTGTGGATGAGGAATGAAACCACTGATACGACTGGCTTATATGTCTCTCGCAGGTTAGCTCAATGTTCCCTCCTGTCCTCCGGCAATCCTCAGTCCGGGCGTATGTTGACTTTCCGCGTTCATAGAAGGTAGGAGGAGCTGTAAATCGGGTTCAGCGGGTGTTTCGTCCGAGTTGGTAGTCGTTCCCGACGAGGGAATTATCTGGCGGAATAGTGACAGAAAAATAGGTCTTATTTTATTTGTGAAGCCGTCCCCCACCAAGACTGTGCCGATACTTCTCAACAAAATGCTTCCTGTATGACGTGAGATTGGGATGACGCAGGGCGGGCTGAAGCTTCGCGAAGGAATGGATGGACCTTCGGACCGGGGGACGTACCGGTGGATGGTGGCTTGGCGAGATTGCCCTGCCCCCACTTGAAGGTGGGGGAAAGTGGGGTGTACTCGCCTCCGAAGAGTCGGTTGACTTGATGATCTCGGTGGTCGGGGAATGAACACTTCGGACACGAGGCGCTGACGTGTAGGTCGATCGTTCCGTTGAGGAGAAGTGTGTGAAGGATGGAGAGCAGTGTTGGGCACTTGTACTGGTCAATACGGCAGGAAGATAGGCAGAACGATCTCACGAATGGAGATACGAGAGGTGAGGGGCGGGGTGGGGTGCTTCGCACTTTGATCGGGAAGCGTCGTTAGGGATAGTCGTAAATCGCCTGCGGCCTGTATGTCGAAAAGATATAAGGGGTACCTGCGTGTCAAGACGGCTCTCAATCAACAACGTGTGATATCCGCAAATTCATTTCACCCCGACAAAATGAATTCGGGGGTCATGGTACAGGTACCGGCCGCACAGCACAAGACGAACCATGGGACGTCCACTTCGCAAGTCATCACGTCTCCTCCCCCTCGATCGAACATCGTTTCCTGCGAAGGAGATTGGGATGGAAACAACTACGCCAGTGAGTCTCTGATATGACTTTCCGGTCAAGGACAGACTTTTATTGATGAAAGAACGTTGCGTGCCAATCAAAACTTCCATTTGGCCGAAACCGCATGGGATTTGGAATTGCGCATTCTGTCTGAAGCGATTGTGAAGGGAGGGATTGCTCGGTAACGATGGGATAGGATGCATGGGATAGAGTGGAGCGTACGTTACAACAACATAGAATCGTCAAACCGCGAAGGTGATCCATGGAAAGCATTTTAATCATTGCTGTCGTTCATTTCCACTAGTTCGTACGCCCAGTCGTCCAGGTAGTATACGGAGAATCTGCCGCCGTGGGTCCAGCCTTCTGCCTGGGAGATAGTCCACCACGTTCTGGATAGACCTATCAAGTGAGCAATGTTGCTACCTACATGTAAAGTATCGGTCCCATCGTGAACACCCGCGCCGAGAGAGCATGGAGATAAGATTGAGAAAACGAAAGAAACACACCCGACTTGAAAGCCCATAACTCGACCGCCCAGCCTCTGCTAAGCGCCTCCCGAACAGCTCCGAGAAACCCATCCTTGTTGAATTGTCCTCCCTTGGCATCTCCGGTGGCCAGAACGATGGTCGAGCCTTTCGGCGCTGGAGTTGGCTTTGAGTTGAGTGTTTGAAGTAACTTGAGATGCAGAATTTCGTCAACTCCCTGTTCTCTGTATCGTTTCAACCCATATTGTGAAGCCGACGCATGAGATTCGGGATGGCTCATAGGTTTATCGATGAGATTTTGGGCGAAATGATCAACGACTTCGTCCTCATAAACCTCGACCCGTTTCAAAATTGACACTTCCCAACCTAACCTGACCAGAGGATCGAGATCCTGCTGCAAGGGGGAAGACGCGACTGCATGTAGAGTGCCGGGTGGAGTCGAGCGACCTCTTCGTAGAAGGAGGGATACACACGGAAGGGACAACACGCGAAGATGTCTTGGAGGCAAGGAATCAATGGGCTTGTTGTACATGGTAGAGATGAGTCCGAAGAGAATATTCGAACTGATACATCAGCTTGTCTGATCACGGAATCGGAGTGAAACACACGTACTGGTCGAGAAAGACGTGAATCAATCCACCTGTATCAACGCATTCGGGATGAAATCCTCCTCCGGCCCCTGCCATTCGCCCCACTCCATGCTCCCATATGACTTCGCCCGAGGTCTGGCCGTATAAGCTTCCAGCGTCGAAGAAAGCGGCGAGCACACCGCGGTCCTTCTTGAACTTGGTAGGGAGTCGCTCGCGAAGAACATTGAGAGACGAAGGAGTAAGAACGATACGAGGTTCAGGTTCGAACTGGTGATCCGGTTCTGATAAGGGCAAAGGGGCGTCGGGTAGAGCGAGGGCAGCAATGATTTCGAGATACAGTCTCTGCCGAGTGTGCGCCACCGTTCGCTTCAGAGCTGTAACATCCGTATGGGTACTCAAAACGGCCATGTTCAGATTGGATCGGACGACATTGGCCATGACAACAACGGCCTTGACGCTACCCAAGGCTTCGAAGACTGGGCGTAGCTGAATCGGAAGACCATCTCCCGTACTGGCGCATTGGCGTACCAGATCTTCGAGCAAGGGTCTCACGCCAGGGTGGGTTTGGTGAAGAGAGGCAAGGAAGCTGGCGGGGAGACGGTCGGGCGGATCAAGCGTCCTGTCAGATTTGCAGGAGAGAGGAGGGGAGCGGGGCAAACGTTTGCGAGGTATGGACTGCACATATCGCGTCCGATATCCGATACGGGGGAAGCGTTTGGCTCGAGTGTGTTTGGCTGACCACGCTTCATTCAGCACCGCTGGAGGGAGTGAGGGTGAGGTGATCGAGGGGAAGGCTGGAGGAGAGACCTCTTGGTCTGCGTGGGCAATCTTGTGTCGATGAGGACGAGAGTATCGGTGTGGTTCCCAATCGGCGGATGAATATGTACCGACTCTTGACATTCCTCGTTGCATCTCGCTGTCACCCGCCCGGTTGAGAGAAGCATGGAGCGTTGACGGTGACGGATGAGTAACGAATGTTAAAGAAGGCGAGGTTGTAAATCCAACATAGGCGGGATCGGGATGTCAGATCTCTTGGTCCAAGGTGTCACGTGACATGGCAACAATCAGGTGACATCAGGTTTTCCAAGGGATGTGTGATTTCTGCTACCAAGTCAGATTGCCTACAAAGTACCGCAGCATGCAGCACCTGATTTGGAACTGGGACAACATATCAATGATGGTAGACATGTTCACCGCAAGATTAGTCAAATTTCTCTTATGAGAACTTGAGTATTGCAAAAACAGGATCAAAAACCATGAGGAGTGCAATTGGAGTTGAGAAGTCTCGAAATGACAATGAGTCAGAACAAATTAACGAAATCACCCAAAACAAAGCACAGCCACTGTGGTGCATACAGTTGTCAGATGTTGAAGTAGAATGCAAAAGTGTACAGTATTGACAGAGGTTAGATATGAGACGAGGGAGTACACAGAAATAGTGATGGCGAGCCCATGTGGCAGTTTTTGATTGCTCTATTTCCAACACCCCCACTCAAGTGGATCTGCCACATACCCCTAATAACACCCTCAACCTATCAAATGTGTCAGAGGGCAAGGCCTCTGTCAACAAATTTGCAATGTTCTCAACTGTTGGGACATGTCCAGGAGATACTGTATTGTCTTCAACTTTCTCATATAATGATGTCGCAGGTCAATATGTTTTGTCTTGTTATGATGAACCGGATTCTTGGCAAGAGCTATAGTTCCTGCATTATCATTGAGAATTTTCAGAGGTTCTTGACCAAGTCCAAGTCCCAAATCATCCAAAAGTTGTGTTGACCATACAGCTCGGCGTGTTGCATCTGAAGCTGCCATATGTCGGAAATAGAGCAATCGGTAACTGCCACATTGGAGCGCTATCGCTATTTCCGCGTATTCCCTCGTCTCATATCTGACCTCTGTCAATATTGTACTCTTTATGCATTCTACTTTCTACATCTGACAGGTTATGAGCCTGAAATATCGCTCTTAAGACAAGATCCAACTGCTCCCGACACCCCCTGCGGTCCCTCCAGCATTAGAATCAGTAGAACTATCAGTAGAATCATCAACTCAACTCAAAATTTCGCTTTTCGCTTCAAATCGCTTTTCTCACTTTCACTCTATCTCCTCCAATACTGCTCCGATTCTCGATATCTCTTCGGATCTGAACAGAGCGTCACTGTTTCCACCATTACCGAAAAGAGGAGACCGACAACATTCACGAATAGCGAGATAGATCGAAAGTGAAAATTTTCAACTGTAATATCCCTCCTTTACCAGCAAAATCGCTTTTTCAACACAACTCAGTCAATTCTGAACGAAATACATCGCTTTTTACATCATTAGAAAGAGGACAGTAGGAGCTACATAGGGAACGAAAGAGATTGACGTTTGAAAAAACGGTTGGGACAGGAGATCAATTACAAAGTCGGAATTTCTGTAAGCAACAACAAGACTTCTTTTTCACTCACAAACCAAATTTTTATCCTCTTTACCTCAATTCTACACCGATTACATCGCTCTCAGCATCTCCTGAATTGCCCCACTGTGCTCTCTCTAGATCTACAACCAGACTCGATTTCGGTGGAACGGTTGAACCAGCAGACCAAAATTTCGAAATCAAAATTCCAAACATCACCTTTTCATTCCGAAATTGGATACTTCGTTCTCATTTCCTCAATTCACGACCAAATCTATCGCTCTCTGTTGTTCCTACACCGCTTCGCTGCGAGCTATCCATATCTGAAATCAGATTGTAAATCGGAGTAGCGGTTGAAGCAGAGGACCAAAAATTCAAAATTGGAAATTCTTTCCATTCCCTCATCACATTTTATAAATTATCGCTTCTCTTATTCCTCAAATCCACGCTTTACAGCAAGCCTCTGGTATCGGTATCGACGCTCTCGGCTGGGAGTGAAGGCAAGTCCTGCAGAAGCGCAGGTGAAAAGTCGAAATCACTTCCACACTTTCGCTTTTTCTCTCATTCATTACTCTCATCTTGTTCCTAAAACCGGACCTGCTTTATTGTGGGAGGTGCATCGTGTATCGCTTTAGATACAGCGGTGTAGACGAATCTGGACACCCCAGTGGCGCGCCTCTGAGTCCTAGGACATACCAAGCGCGCCTCGCAATCAGCTGAGTCACTCTGAGAGTCTATTCTTTGTTGTTTGAACTGTTGCTGATTTTACATTTCGCAAAATATTGGTTTTCCAATATCTCAATCAATACTTTCAATCTTGTCCTCTAATTCTGCTCACATATCCGCGATCACCGTCTCTATTACTACCATCAATCTCAGCATTCTGTCAGATGTAGAAGTAGAATGCATAAAGAGTACAATATTGACAGAGGTTAGATATGAGACGAGGGAATACGCGGAAATATAGAAGCGCTCCAATGTGGCAGTTACCGATTGCTCTATTTCCGACACCCCCACTCAAGCGGATCTGCCACATACCCCTAATAACTCCCTCAACCTATCAAATGTGTCAGAGGGTAAGGCCTTTGTCAACAGGTCTGCAATGTTCTCAGCTGAGGGAACATGTCCAAGAGATACTGTATTGTCCTCAACTTTCTCACGGATGTAATGATGTCGCAAGTCAATATGTTTTGTCTTGTTATGATGAACTGGATTCTTGGCCAGAGCAATAGTTCCCGCATTATCGTTTAGAAGTTTCAGAGGTTCTTCACCAAGTCCAAGTCCCAAATCATCCAGAAGTTGTCTCAACCACACCGCTTGTCTTGTAGCATCTGAAGATGCCATGTATTCAGCTTCTGTTGTTGATAGAGCAACTGTAGGTTGTCTTCTACTTTTCCAAGCAACGACTCCACCATAGACTTTGAAGACATAGCCAGTTGTAGATCTTCTGGTGTCCAAATCTCCTCCCCAATCCGCATCCGCATAACCTAGAGCAATTCTACTGCTGTTCTCTTTGTTAAAGGTAAGACAGAGGTCGGATGTACCACGGATGTAACGAAGTAGGTGTTTAACGGCTTTCCAGTGTGAGTCATTCCATTTACTGAGGAATCTAGATAAAAGACTTGCAGGAAATGCAAGGTCTGGTCGAGTTATCGTAGAAGCATAAAGAATAGCCCCCACTGCTTGCGCATACGGGTAGTGTTTTGCTTCTTCATGTTCTTGATCAGTTGCAGGTATTGGACGAAATCCAGATGGAAGAGGTGTCTTTGCCGGGTTGCAATCTTTCAAGTCAAACCGTTCAAGAAGTGATTCAAAGTAATGTTCTTGAGACATAAACAGTTTGTGGTTCTGTCTATCACGATGTATGTTGAATCCCAAGAAGTATCCAACGGGACCAGAGTCTGAACATTCGAATTCAGAATTAAGGGCCGCCTTGAAGTTGTTCAACATTGTCCGGTTGTTACACGCGATAAGTTGATCGTCAACGTGAACAGAGAGCATAAGAATATTGTCTCCATCTCGTTTTGAATAGAAGCATGGATCTGCTTTGGTTGGGAGAAGTCCTTGAGACTGTAACCACTTGTCTAGCGCTTTGTTAAAACATCTTGGTGATTGTTTGAGACCATAAAGCGATTTGCGCAACCAAAGTACTTTGTTTGCCGGGATGTTGGATCCTTCTGGCGGTTGCATATGGATTGTTTCTTCTAATTCCCCATTCAGGAAAGCCGCTTTGATATCAACTTGATCACATTCAAGATTAAAATGGTTGACGATTGCTAGAAACACTCGAATTGAATCTTTGTGCGCAACAGCAGCAAAGAGTTCATTGTAGTCCAATCCTTCCACTTGATTGTAACCTTTTGCGACAAAGCGAGCTTTGTAGGTAGATGGGAGTCCAGTTTCTCCATCTATCTTGCGCGTATACACCCAGCGTCCCTTGAGAATGCGCATTTTCGGATCAAGATCAACAACTTGCCAAACTTTGTACTTTTCCATTTTTGCAAGTTCCTCGTCCATACTTTTTCTCCAACACTCCCATTCGCCCGTATTTTGCGCTTCTCGATATGAGTTGGGAAGATTAGAAGCTGCCAGCGCGTGTGCTGCTAGGCTGAATGATGTATCATCGTCCCGAATGTTGAGTTCATCTGAGGAATCAGAGTTGGAAGAGGATTCTTCATCTTGCAAATTTTGCGCAAATTGTCGTTGCACAATTGCATTTTGGCGTCTAGGATCACGTTCAAGATTTCGTAAAAACTCTTGATTCTGTGCGTTTCTTTGCTCCTCAAGTTGCTCAAAGAGAGTTCGTATGCGCCCCAATGGCTGAGCTTCATTTCGGTTGATTGCACTCGGTAGGTGTTGCGCAATTTCATTTCGAATTTTTTCAACTCCAATTGAGATTGTTGTGAATTTTGAATTTGCGTTTTGATTATCTAAGTCCCTGTTGGACGGATTTGAGTGATTTTTGCGGTGAATATCCGCGCCACTACCCATAATATGTGGTCCAAGTTCTAGGTCAGGAACTGCAGGAACTTTGGAGAAATCTGATTTTGTAGCGAAAATGACATCTCTTGTGATCCAAATTTTCTGTGTGAGAGTGTCCAAAATGCGAAAGTTGTTTGTACCTTCTTGGTAACCAAGAAGTTGTCCCTCCCGATAGCGTTGTGCAAGTTTGTTGCTTTGTTTATGGTCACGGTGGTAGACTTTACACCCGAATGTTTGAAGATGAGAAATACGCTTTTCGCTTTTGTACCAAATGTCATCTGGAACTTGGCGCTTTGGACCACCAGGACATCGATTGCGAGTATAAGCAATGTAATTTGCCGCTTCTGCCCAGTACTTAGCAGGAAGCCCAGAATGCGCCAGAACTGTGCGAACTCCATTGAGAATTGTAAGATGAAGTCGTTCTGCCCGTCCATTTTGCGTATGCGCGTCAGGCGGTACTTGCACATGTTGAATACCACGAGATTTGCAGAAATCTGCCATTGTAGCAGAACTAAACTCTCCACCATTG